TCGTCGACTTCTTTCTTGGCACTTGCTGCGAAGGCTTGGAGATTCGAGTTCTCCGTCATTTGTTCCTCCAGACGTTTTTCAAGACGAAAATTCTTGTCCCGGAGTCGCTGAGTCTCAGTAGTTTCTCGTAAAACACCGTCCGCGGTGAGACGGGGCCGCTTGGTCTGGCTCTGGAATTGAGCACTGGAGACGCTTTCATTTTGGGCCCGCCACTCTCGAGAAGGAACAGCCATATTTGTTCCTGTGAAATCTGTGAGATGCTGAGATTCCCTCTCGTAAAGATTCGGGGTTAAGTCTGGCGGAGTCTGACCATCTTGGTTTGGCTCGGGATGAAGTATGTTCCTTCCAATGACTGCGATGGCGTCGCGCTCGCGCCTACCGCCGCGAGGAAGATTCTCAGGGGGGGCCTCGCTCGGAATCTTCATGACGATGTCATCCTCCTGCTGAATTGCGAGCAAGATTTTAGTAAGTTTCGATGAGCGTCCTCGTTCTAGCTGACTTACTTCTTCAGACTTGACGTGCTTGCCGTAATCGAACCAGGGTGGCATGATCAGGGAGCCTCGTTCGAGAGTCGTGGAAGAGAAGGGTTACTGAGTATTCTTGTGGAGGAAAGATTTGATGAAACAATGGGGGAAATAGCAGTTTGGATTTCGCCCGGCTGCGTCCCTGATATAGACTCGCTTAGAAGAAAGTACGTCCTGGAATGTTCGGAGACGAAGACGAAATCGCTTGAGGGAGGTCAGTTAGGTGGTAGGAAGGAAGTTCCTCAGGTATTAATTCCAAGTGAAGAAGGTCAGGTAAGGTAGCCGGCATCGCACCTTCTTCAGACTTCAAGCAAGTGGGCCTTTAGTTCTGAGCGGTCATTCCAATTAAAAAAGGCGGGGTTATTGGAAAGCTTTCACACGAAATATCCTCTTTGTTGCCGTCAAACAAGACTGTCGTAAGAGGAAAATTTCAGATTGACCATAGGAAACTTCTGCACTCAAGGCAGGAACCTATCTCAACGCTTGCCTTCGCAGATCTCCCCAGCTTGCCTTCCTTAGAAAAGCAGGGAAGTCATCACGAACTTTCGCTTTTACCTCCCTTGATCGCTTCTTTCAAACAACACATCACAAGGACTTTCAATTTTACGTTTTGCCTTGCCCTCTTTCAAAACTTTCTCCTACGTCTTTCTAACTCGAGGTAGTAAGCAACAGCTCTCTCACGACAGCTGACCTTCCCCTTCAATTTCTTATACCTTCCCTGCCGCTTCACCTCTCATTTTACCTCTCACATCACTCCTTGACACATTCCTATCTAACCTATCGATAACTCTTCCCAGAAGCGAATTTTCCCCAGAGTAAACACCTGGCTGGACGTTCTTTCCCTGGCCGACACAAGGCTTTTTCTTAAAACTTCCCTCTCAGCCACCTCATCTTATCAGTCCCCGGAAACGAAGGCAAGCAATTCCGGCCTCAAGAATCTTGAGGGACAAAGTTATCATGGCAGACGACGAAAACGCAATAGTCATCGGCATTGACTTCGGCACGACGTAAGAACATGTTTCGTGGCATTCTGTTCATCGAGCGTCCTAGCTAATAATTCGCAGCTTCTCTGGAGTCAGTTGGGCATTCTCTGGTCAACCCAACGACATCGAGGTCATCACCAGATGGGAAACGGAGCTCAACTTTGCCTCGGACACCGAGAAGACGCCAACCACCGTTCTTTACGAAGGCACCCAAGGCGCCATCTCTTGGGGCCATGGAGTCTCAGTTGAAAAGAGCCCGGATGCAATGAAGTGGTTCAAGCTTCTCCTGATTGATGATGCTGACCTTCCCAAGAAACTCCGGACTTCTTCGCAACTTGCTACAGCTAGAAAGCTGGTGAGAGAAGCAAACAAAGACCCTGTTGAGGTGATCAGCAGTTATCTTCGACTTCTGTGGAATCATACCATTGAGTGCATTGGTATCTCTGCGGGAAATGATCTCATCAAGATGTGCAAGTTCCACGTTGTCATCACCTTGCCCGCTATCTGGCCAGACTATGCGAAGGCTCGAATGAAGCGAGCAGCCGAAAATGCCGGTCTTCTCAATAAACGCCTTGCTGGAGCGACCACATTGTCCTTCATTTCGGAGCCCGAGGCCGCAGCTCTGGCTACTTTGAAGGATCTCGCAGGACGACCAAACATCAAGGTATGATCTGTTGCTCCTTATGTAACAACGATTGGTAAGCTGATGGCACACCTAGGTGGGCGACTACTTCGTTGTTTGCGACGCTGGAGGAGGCACCGTCGATCTCATCAGTTACGAGATCCTCAAGTTGAAGCCGATGGTCGTTCGAGAAGCCATCAAGGGAGATGGCGACCTGTGTGGCGGCGTCTTTCTTGATGAGGCATTTGTTGAACTCCTCAAGAACAAGGTCACCCCTCAAGCTTGGAGTAATATCCCTAAGGATGATGCCGCGAGCATCCTCAATGGAGACTGGGAACACGGAATAAAGCAGCAATTCGACGGTCAAGTTCGCGACTGGCACATTAAGCTGCCTCCCGAGTGCATAGCCAAAGGAACACCTAATCGCGGCATCAAGCGGAAGAGAAACCTGGTTCTCAACTTGCAAGACCTCATCCCTGTGTTTGACCCGATTGTCACCAAGATTGCAGCACTCGTGCAAAAGCAGATCGATGGTGTTCGCTCCAAGTCGGGCAAGCTCCCTAAGGTAAGAAGATCTGCTCAACGTCTCCTTTGAGAATAGCTTTCTGACATACCGACAAAAAAGAACGTCATTCTAGTCGGAGGATTCGGCAGATGCCGCTACCTCCGTACTCATCTTCAACGCACCATTGACAAGAACATTGCGCTTCTTCAGTCTTCGGGTACCAAGCCGTGAGTTACTCGACTCTTCTCTTTGTACTCTTGCTAATCTGTTCAAGCTGGACCGCCATCTGTCGTGGTGCAGTAATCCAAGGTCTGGACCATTTAAACCTGTCTTCTGGACTTTCAATCAGCGTCAAGTCTAGAATCGCCCGAGCTAGCTATGGAATCAATTATAGGACGACCTTCGATCCCAAGATTCACAGCAAGAAGTCCAAGATCTGGTGCGAAGAACAGCAGGAATGGGAAGCAGGTCGCCAGATGGAGTGGTTTCTCGAACAGGTATGTTATCCCACTAAACAATGCAAACAGGCAATCGCCCTAACAATGCTATAAGGGTATGGATGTTTCCAGTACAGATCCCGTTCGGAAAGATTACCACCGGCTTTTCGAAACTGCGCCAAAGGAGATTTCAGTCACCTTATTCATCAGCACTGCTTGGCCTCCTCCAAAAGAGATGAACAGCCATGTCAAGAAGCTGTGCGACATCACTTTCAGCAAGAAACTCGACTTCGAGAATCTGCCACATTGGACCAATCCGTTGGGAAAGGTGTTCTACAACCTGACATACTTTGTCGACATGAGCTGCGCCGGTGCGAGCATTGACTTTACCATCATTCATAACGGCCAGAGCGTGGGAGCCAAGAACGTTTCGGTGACCTTTGAGTCTGAGGAAGACGACATTAAAGCGGGATCTAGCACCGCCTGAGCATCAACCTTTCGTAATGCCGAGACTGGGTTAGCAGGAAGGAATTGGGTACTTCTCTAGGGAGAAACGCCGGGGAAATATGGGAATGCACGTGAGTATCAATCATCCAGGAATCGTATGGAGCAAGCCCAGCTAGCATTTGCTCTCAGCTCGCTCCATAGAAACATAGACGTTGAACACATCAGGAACCTCAAGTCCGAAATCGTCGAATGCCGGGAATGTTGAAACAATGTAGTAACAGATAAGAGACAAGAAGAGGACTATAACTTTGTCTCTGAGTCCGTGAATCGTGATTACGCTGGTAGATCGTGTTCGCCACCTGAAGTCAGAGGATGTTTTGGTTAGCAAGGCATTCTGGCACCTCTTGGTATGTTTCCTGGACGTCTTACCTAGTGTCAAGAAAGACGCACCTTGACGTCTGTGGATTGCAGTGAGAGTGAGGCGTGTTTTAACGAAATGGGATCCTCCGTAATCGGGAAAGCCGGCCGCTTGGCTATCATATTACTCCATGCGCCGGAGTTTCATGTGCTTATCTCAGCCTCAACGAGTTGATAAGTTTCACTGAACCACGACATCGAGGCGTCCTAAATGGGAGGAAGCGCGTACACTGCGTTGGTCAACACATCAGAAAGACTGTGTATAATGCGCCAGACCGGGCCCAGCATCTTCCAAATCTACAACTATGGCGTTCCTTACCTGCAACCCGTCAGCTTGGGCTCCCGCAAGCTTATCAAAACCATCACCCGCTCGACTCGTCATCATGTCACGTCGGCAGAAATCCAATCAGGCAGCGGTGCGAGGGTGGTAAGGTTTGGATCTCCCAGATATCCGGGACGTTGGACCACCCTCATCCATGGCCTGTATGATGGGCTTTGTGTGCATGCTTCGTCAATGCTCAAGGGTTGGTGAGGTTGCGGTAAGCGCTGGCGCCGGTTCAAAGAGGCTGTTCTACGGACCGACTATCCGTGCGCCTCCGTGTAACCTGAGATGTCTTCTCAGCGGCATCAGTCGGAAGCTCAAAGGCGTGTATAGCTGGGGTCAAATGGATCGTTGTCGCCTGGGCTGTCTTTGCTGCAGCCTGCGATTCAACGCCAAACCCAGAGTTTGGCGGGTTAGCTGGTAAGCTCGCTCACTGCAAGAGCTGGCTTGATATGCTGCAGCTGTATACAGAGCTTACACGCTGACTCTGCTTTGAGATTTACGAGATCGCGGAAGCCATTGGTCCAGATGGCTCGAGTTCAGCTGACAGCTTGATGGCGTATGAGCCTGATAAAACGGTGGTCGAAGGAGGAGAGAGTCGGAATAGTATTTGAACGTTTGCGGATCCGGGAAACAATACAGAAGGCCACAGTATCTCACGCTCGACGGCTTCACACTCGTATCTTTCAAGTGCCAACCTTCGACAATTTGATAGCCAAGGCTGAGACCCTGCCCCAGACCGGATGACCGCTAGAGAAGGCAGACCAGCCCGATTCCTCATCGTCGGGCGTGCGCTGTGCGGTCTCGGCGGTATTGGTATGTATCTCGGGGTGATGGTCCTCATTGCTGCTACAACGACGACTCAGGACCGGCCTGCGTATCTTGCTAGCATTGGGATTACGTGGGGGCTATAAACTTTGCTTGGGCCGGTTGTGGGAGGTGCCTTTGCCGATTCGGATGCAATTTGGCGGCAAGTCAGCCTTCACCATGATCAATAGCCTCCTCAGTGACTGACACCTGAGAGCTGGGCTTTCTACATCAATGTACCCATCAGTAGCCTGGCCGCGCCAGTGTATCTCTTCATGCTGCCGTCTCCCGACCCTCAGCCTGGCGCGACCATTTTTCAGCGACTCGCCGAAATCGACTGGATCGAATCTCCGCTGATGCTAGGTGCCATCGTCTGCTTCACCATGGGCATCTCGTTCGGCGGCGTCTTGTATGAATGGGACTCTAGCTCCAAGATAGCGCCTTTCGTCGTCGCAGGCGTCCTCTTCATTGTCTTCCGCATCCAGCAAGCGTACTGTATTGGTACAATCAAGGAGCGGCGCATCTTTCCAGTCGAGCTCATCATCTCCCGCGAGTGCTACCGAACCATCATCCTCATGTTCTGCGTCACAGCCGCCGGAGGTTGCGCCATCTTCGTGCCGGTGTACTTCGTTCCCATCTTCTTCCAGTTCACGAGAGGTGACAGCGCCATCGACGCGGCTGTCCGCCTGCTTTCGTTCAGCCTGGTCATGGTTACCGTGGCCCTAACGTAGGGCGGCATGCTGTCCCATCTGTCCGGAAAGTTCGGGCTGTACATGCCATGGTTCACCGTCGGCGGCATCAATAGTGTCGTTGCTTCCACGTTGATGTACGTCGTCAAAACTGATACAAGCACAGCATGGATCTATGGTTGCTCGGCCATGCTCGGTGCCGGCGTCGGTACCTTCACGCAAGCGGGCTTCACGATTGCCCAGGCCAGCGTGCCGGCGCCCAAGGCTGCTGTTGCGTCCTCTCTGATTGCCTTGGCGCAGACGAGCGGTATCAATATCGCGCTGGCGATTAGTAACGCCGTACTTCCTAACAGAGCTGAGAAGCGGTTGACTGCGGTTCTCCCGGATACTGTCACGGAGGACCAGATTCATGCTGCGATTGCTGATGTCGGGACGGACTTTGTCACGACGCTGCTTCCGCGGATGTAGCAGGAGGTTCTCGAGGCTATCGTTGAATCTGCCATATATCTTGGTTATCACAGCCGGGGCACTTGTCTTGGTCTGCGGTGTGTTGATGAAGAGGGAACGCTTGTTGATGACGGCTCATGTAGGAGTTTGAGGATCTTGAGCAGATAATGAGGGAGGAATAAGAGTAACGAATATATACGAAGACATTGAATCTTGGTGAAGAGATCATAGATGGGGACATCATAATGTTAAAGCTGTCCGAATGGGCAAAGAGTCTGATGAGATGAGATCATGGAATGTGAGAAAACTGATGCTGGATGCAGGGCAACCAGTATTACTCTTCGTTTCCTCAGAAGTGACATGGTTCTTACTTGAAGTGTTCGAAGTCTCATCGCCACTGAAGGCATTGCCAGGCCGAGTGAAGGTAGCAGTGCTCAGGAATGAATGAGATGCACCATATAAGTAAGGCAAGGGATGAGTGAAAGGGATGAGTGAGATGGAGTGAGATGAAGAGTGAGGTGAGGTCGTCGCGGTGGAGCGTGCGCTCACTGGACGGGCCGTGCGGAGAAACGGGTCCCAGCGCGTCTTACCTAATGCGCTCAGAGACCCGCTATTTTAAAACAGAGCCACAGGGGGACTGCAGCTCCATGTTGCAGGACAGTTTCGCTCTAACCCGTTGCGGCCGGTCCATCCCTCGGTCGGAGGACGTCCAAAAGTTGACACCTCTTCGGAAACTCAACCACAGCTCTGAACCTCTCATCAAATCCCGGAGCTCCGTCGCGAACTCATCCAAATTCGCCATCTCCCCCTATTACCAACGACGACAGCAACGACAACAAAGAGACGCGCCGCCATAGATCTCGGCCCGCCAAACACAGCATGAGTTCATGAGAACAGGGTCCCATCGTGCCCTTGCTGCTGTCATTCGTCACAGCCCGCCATGGCCCTCCCTCTCGTGAGAGGCCATCCCGTCCGCGGACTCTGGATCGCGTTCCTTCCCCTCCTTTTCGCGGCTTCGGTATGCGCCTACACACCGCTCTCAGCAGCCGTGCTCAAGAACGTCACGGTATCCGAGGCCGACTTTGACATTCACAACGGCCCATTGCTGGCCCCCATTCTCATCCCCCGAGTGCCCGGCACGGATGGGCAGCTCAAAACTCAACAGCATTTTGTTGATTTCTTCACCAAGAACTTGCCGAAATGGAACATCCAATGGCAAAACTCAACGGATAAGACACCCGCCACGGGAAATACCGATATCCCGTTTCAGAATCTCATCATCAGGCGCGAACCACCATGGACGAAGCCTGGCCAGGCCAACTATCTCACCCTGGTGGCGCATTACGACAGCAAGATCGAACCCAAGGGCTTTATCGGCGCGACGGATAGTGCTGCGCCGTGCGCTATGCTTCTGCACGTTGCGAGGGCGCTGGATCCGATGATGACCCAGATGTACGATGAGATGGTGGCTCTTGGGGAGAATGGTGGCACAGTTCCCCAGGATATGGGGCTGCAGATTCTGCTTCTCGATGGAGAAGAAGCTTTCAAGTCCTGGACGGACACCGACTCGCTATATGGCGCCAGGTCAGTTAAGGTGTTACACAGCATAAGATCTCATCGCACTAACATCATGCCGCAGGTCCCTGGCTCTCGAATGGGAGAATACATTCAACCCCGCCATGTCTCATTACAAGAACCCCCTGGAGCAGATCAGCATGTTCGTGCTGCTCGATCTCCTTGGGTCAGCAGAGCCCAAGGTTCCTTCTTACTTTCAGTCAACCCACTGGGCCTACAAGGCCATGGCCGACATTGAGAAGCGCATGCGTGACCTCAACTTACTCGAGAGCAAGCCCAAGATGCCGTTCCTGTACGACATCAACAAGGTGAACAAGATGTTTGGACGTAGTGGCATCGGCGACGACCATGTCCCCTTCATGATGAAGGGCGTCAACATTCTGCATATGATTCCCTCGCCTTTCCCAGACGTATGGCACACCACGCAGGATGATGGGGAGCACCTCGATATGCCGACAGTGAGGGACTGGACGAAGATTGTGACGGCGTTTACGATGGAGTGGCTTGATGCGATGGAAATAATGCCCGAAGAGGCTCAGAGGTAGCATACCTAGAGGTTGAATTGTGGAAACTGAACTCTTTCTTTGTTCCTAATTATACCTGTTCACTGTTGATGTTTGCGCAACCAGATGCCACATGCTGGATTGGTTTTGTTTGGGGTGGGTTCTTCTCCCAGTACAACTTCCTTGTCGCTGCTGTGGTAAACGAAGCGAATGTTGAATCTCTATACGACCAGGAGTTCAGCCAGCAAGGTTCAAAGGAGAGAAAATGACCTCGATCTCTGTTCAGCAAACCAAAAGCTGCCAGATGCGTGCGCGAATGGCTGCAGTTTTCTCAATCTTTCTGGGTCTCTTTGCACAAGATGGATATAAGATAGCCTCAGGCCCTCCACTGTAGGCTGGACCAATGCATTATGCTGCTAGTTCTTTCTCAAGCACCGACTATTCTCAATTTTAGTAAGCGCTTCACCGCAGTATATTTGTAAGCTCAATAACTTGAAGATAGGGACAGAAACGGTTAATCTCCTTTTCTTCCAGGTCTGAGGCTCACGAACGAGAAGTTACTACACGAGTTCCACAGCCACATCAAATACGAGACCGATTTACATCTCTCCAGCAGACCATCAAGATGTGGGAGTTATTGAACGAGGATTTGTCGAAAGTTTCCAAGGTTAAGTTGGGAGGTGAAACTGGTGATTTCCGTTTGATCATGGCCAAACAGTTCCCTCGTTCTATCCCTTTGCCATGCGAACCAGACGATCCCAACGCAATGGAGAAGTTGCAATTGGAAATAATTGTTCAGTCTAAAATCATTACGCGCGAATCTGCTCTTCTCTCCAAAATGTTTCAAGACAGAAACCGGGACGAATTCCAAGGTAACACTGACAGAGGAGCCATGCGACTTGAAAAAGACCTTGTCGGCTCAATGCTGGTTCTCCTTGCAATCGTCCACGGAGACACCCAATACCTCGTTCAATCCAATCTCTCTACTTCGGAATTCATCAGTTTGCTGGAGCACGCAGAAAAATATGGCCTCTCACGACATTTGGTACCGCATCTCGGGGGATGGATGCCTAATGAGTCTGGAAGAAAACTGTTTGTATCTGGCGGCGATATTGTCAGGCTCGCGTGGGCTGCTCGAGAAATCGGCTCGGGAGACATCTACCGCGAGGAGATCATCAAGCTCGCCATCCTGATTCCATTGACGGGCGACCCCTCGCCAAATGTTGAACGAGACGATTATAACAAATTCTATGCCAAAATTTTAGGTGAGTAGCGCGCGTGTTCCAAATGTGGGGGAGTTGGAAGAAGAAACCTTCCCTGACAAAAACAGAGGATGCAGATAAGTTCCGCGATTATGCCATGCTGGCCATAAGAGAGCGGCTCCTTGAGCATCGAAACAACGCCTCAAATTCCCAAGGTTGTGTAGTCGCCTGGGCAACCGAAGAGGATCGCCAGAGATGCAACTCCATGATCACAGAATCCTGGAAAGAGGCTATCAACTCGGTCGGAGATGGATTCGATAGCTTCATCAAGGATGACCGGAAGAAGAACGAGCCGGTCAAGAGTTCAGAATACTCTGGTCACATTCTCAGGATTCTAGAAACAACGTGCGATACCATCTGGCACCACGAGTCTTGCAATCCTTTCAGAAAGATGCAGGAGATTTCGGGAGACAGCTTATGGCCACAGCTTGACGATACAGAAGCTGACGATACAGAAGCTTAGAATTCTTGCATCGAGCTGACACCACGGAACTGGGGGTTCAAAACAGAGGCTAAGCTGACGCAGGAAAAATGAGGAACCACTTCTTCCTCGAAGCTCAAAAGGTTTTCACCCAGAGCTCAGCATCGTATGGCCCGTAGGAACTCACAGGCTGTTCCCATCACGAAAGACTGGGAACTAATGACGAACTACAAGGATACGACCGTTTCTTGGTCTTTGCTTTCTTTCTAGCTGGTTTCGATGTGGTAGGAGGACTTGCGACTGAGATGAGGCCCACTGCTCTCAACTTCCCAAGTGTAATTATCTATATTCGAGGAACGACTTGACACCATAATCCCTTTTTTTTGGGGAAGTCAAATCCAAAGAGAAAGCGAAACATACCGCTCCAGTCTTGATATTGACTTGCTCTGCAGTGATGGCGCGAGGCTCGGTTGAAACTTCAGTGGGCATGCAACGCCACACGTATGTGTTCTACCATTGCAACTTCGAGCAAAGGCCAAAGCCATCCATCAGACCTTGTGGAATACAGGACTATGCTCATTCGAAAACCCAACTCTTAAAAAATAATGCTGGCATTAGATTGAAACGAAACTGAGCTGACCTTGGTAATCCATCAATGTCAAGACCCAAGGGCCAGGTGGTGCGCTAAGCTCCCGTCAAGTGACCCCAAAGATCATTCAAGTCCAACATCTCACAGGCGCTGTGAGACGTGCCCGGCCTGACCTAGGGCCGGGCAAACGCTGCTGGCCGCCGACGTCATCCTCACAAACCCGCCCATTGCCTTTGAGTTAATAGAAGCCAAATCCTGGGATCAATTCCTTTGTGGCAGGTTCCAAATTGCTGTTTTGACACAGTGCCTTTGTCACGAGAACGGTGGAACGAACGAATGTTTACCCTCATTACCTCCACGAGTAACACCGAGTCAAGGTACAAAGGAATGCTCCCCCCTGTCCCTTACACTACGGGCAGCCAACCAAAAGTTCTTTCCCGAAGATGTCGATTCAGGTCGCGCTCCGCATCCTCAGTAGAGAAACAAGAATATATAAAAGCCCGCATTTTTCTCCTGGATCTCAAACTCACCACCAATAGCTGCACAATACGTAACACATTACACCACAGAGACTTCGTAAGTCCTACGTCAGAACAGAGGGAGAAACGCGCGAATTCTAAAGCTCATAAGCGGGCAAAAGCTTCACAGCGTCATCAAGACAAGCCTTCGCCTTACAGAAATGACGTCTTCTAATACTAATAACTCGTTGGAGTCCGATATTGCAGAGCTGCTGCGTGTCCAAACTATTAACTTTTGCAACGATGATTCCGAGTCTCCCCGCTCCCTTCAAGTTGGTGGCAACCGTTCTCAAAACCCTAATATGGGGGTCACGGCCAAAGTCTCCTTGAAGATACTGGCGGAAGCTTCGAATGAGTTTGAGAAGCACGAGAATTCTTTCTCGAAATATACGGAACACTTATCGAAATGTCCTGTCGAATCGGTACTGATCCTCTTGGACATCGCCCACGGTACCGAATTACTCGTTCCAAACAAGGCCTCAATTCAGAAGAAAGGCTCTGAATTGAACAAAATCTCCGTTGCGAACCTCTGCGACCTAGTTGATAGAGCTGACGATCTTGGCCTGGCGCATCTCTTGGGCCCGTACCTAGAGCATTTGATGACTGCACAGTACAATAAAAACAAGCTTTCAGCAGTCTTTGTTGACATCGCTGCTTGGCTCGCCTGGAAGATTGGCGCGGGAATTTTGTATGACGAAATGATCGACCACCTGGCATTTATCTGCGAACTCGACGAGCTAGGCAATGTCCTAAGACCGGGTCCCAACGGGGAACCGATCTTTAAACATACCCTTCATGACACGCCAAAAGATAGTGACGAAGTTCCCGGTGAGCCTTCCGCATTTTGATCTTTAAACAGTCGAAGAATTTGATGGTCTAACGCAAAGCAGCCAACGTGGCTTTTGTCCGTGAAGAGAGACTGAAAGACGTGATCGGGCAGCTCAGGCACGCTGTATCGCTCGGCAATGGTAGCAAAGAATGCATCGCCAACGACGTATCAGAGAATGAGCGAGTTAAGTGCACTAACGCCATTCACGACTACATGACTCAAGAGTCCAGACTCAAGATCAGTCAGAAGCTTGATATCAATGGCCTGGACCAGGTCTTCCTAGGTGGAAATACTTCAACTTATAGGGGCAGCATCAAGGACTTGCGGCAGAGGTTGTTGGCGGTGAAATGCGAAGCCGCACACGAGACATGCGATCCCTTTAGTGAGATGAGAAAAGTGTTCCAAAAGGAACCAGGCTGGACTCCTCTTGAATTGGCTATGAAACGTCAGGAACATTTCAAGAAGCAAGCTGAAACCTTTAATTGGACGCTGAATTAGCGCGTTCATTCCCGATCTAGTAATCTGAGAAGTTCTTGGTCATCTATGATGGAGATAGGTCCTTACCAGGGAAGTATTAAAGCACCTCGCCTTATTTACTATGTATTGAAGCATCAAGTACGAGCAGTTGTTCGCGCGGAGCATTCAGACGAAGCATATGGCAAAGTTCGTCCATAAGTTTGTTGAAGAATGTACATATACTCCTAGAAATACAAGTTCTCTTGGTTCCAGTATAATCTTTGAGGTCTTTCGATTCTGAAGCGTGGTTGAAGAGCTGGCCATGAAGAGAGTTCAACTCTGATGATCCTGAGCTGTCATACTGGAAGGAAAAGGGCTTAGTGACATCGTTTCAATTCTTCGATGAAGATTTATCAAATTCCCCCAGATGAACTAAAGTATGGCGGTGCCCTTTATGTGATGCCCCGATATTACCGGAAACGAAACGCAGAATTATGCTGATAACGTACGAATCCAAAATTAGTATCATATTTTAAAACACACCGTACAATTGTGCCATTAAAATTCAGCAAGCCGAAGTCCAAATGCGCATCTCGGAAGCTTTTGCCCCAAAAGGTACCGGAAACGCTGTGATATTATAGGTACGTAGGACAGAGCCTAGTCAACACCCAGCGCCTTCGCACACCCAGATTCAGAGAGCTTAAGACCTTAGGCTTGGAGAACACTCCCAAGATAATAAACATCCACTCGAGTGAGGCTCGGTGCTGGATAAATATATAGAGGTACAGAGGTAGGTTGTGTGCTACGGGCCTGCTCATTGCTCCAAAAGATCGACCAAGTCGCAAGCCTGTTAGGCATGCCAAATCCGGTCGGGCAGCCGCATCTAAGCGGTGCCCTCACTCTTCCGAACTGACAATCCGCTCGGCCTTGTGTAACTGCCTAGAGACCACAGACTCGGATTGTTTCTTTCATGATGGAGGTTTCCAGATCCCTGTTACCACTCAGCGCCTTTGTTACTGCTGCAGGAAATCAAAGACCCTTCACCACCATTACCGCCACCAGGAGCATTTGACCGAGTCCAAAGAAATGAATTCAACCTTGATCCCTTTGCCAATGAGTCCGATTCACGAGGCGCTCCTCAGTTTCTTGTGTGAGGTGGAATATAAATGAGTCATCTGCTTCCTCAAGGTGAAACAGAACAGACGATAAACTTCCGCTTCAAAGCGCCGTAATTCGCAGACTTTGAACAATACTCTACCATTCAGATTGCTTGAGTTACGCATTGCATATAAGGTGTTGCATCGAAAGTTGTTCAGCGAAGAGCAGCTTGACTATTCCTAGGGACATTGACAGCCGCTGTTTGCTTCCAGACATGACATCTACGGAGACGAAATGGGATTCGGTAGTCGCGAGAATACCGGATGACCGAGTTATTGTGTTTTGCGAGGAAAAGCTCCTCTGCTTCGACATTGACAATGGCACCGACTTGTCACTCACGATCTTCGTTTCCCCTGAGAAACTGACGAAAGCTTCTCCTGATGTCTTCATGTTTGAGCCAAATTGGCAAAATAAAGAACAACGCGTGGATAAAATGCCATCCGACAATCCCCAAGTAATGCTGATCCTCCTTGCGATCATCCACGATGAGAAGCGCTTCATCCCGGATAAGGTCTGTGTTATTCAGCTCTATGGTCTCTTGGCACATGCTCGACAATTTGGTCTCACAGGGAGTTTGGGCCCGCACCTCCAAGATTGGATGCCCACAGAGAAAGAAAGAACCGACTCGCCTGACAAGGAATACATTGCCTGGATCGCTTGGGAGATCGGCGCGAAAGAAATATACAACGAAATGGTCAATCACCTAGGCTCCATGTGCTCCGGTGATGGGAAAGGTAGCATCCGGTGGCCAGAGACACCCGACCCTATAGAGGAATATCTTGCCGAAGCGAGAATTATTGGTGAGTCTTTCATACTGTGGTCATCAGCCATTCAAGTAACCATGTATCCTGCATGAAAGTATCTAACGGAAAACAGATGACATAGTAAAGGTCCGAAATCGACTCCTAGGTTTCATGTTCACTGAGCTGAGAAAGATCATGAAATTTGGCGAGAATGATAGCAAACACTGCCTTAAAATCGAGCCCACAGACAGTAACCTAAATCACGATCCATGCACAGGCCTCATCCGAACAATGATGACTGCAGAGTCCTTGACCACCATTTGGGGAGAGCAAGGTTTCGATGTTGCTCTTCTATTCGATCAGAATGTATCAAAACATCCGGATTATTCAGGCAGTGCCACAGAATTACGAAACACACTCTTGAGTGTGGAAGTCAATTATGATGAGTTACATGACCATTGCAATCCATTTGCAGGAATGAAGAGGAAGTTGAGAGACGAATCTTACTTGGAACATCTGGACCTTGTTTCAACGCAAGAGAAATTGGACCAATTTCAAGCGCGAGCTCAAATATCGGGATGGAAGCCACAGTAGTAGTTTCGGCCTCGGTCCAGAAACATGATAAACTATTGATTCTTCATGGCTTTAGTTAGACTCTCAGAAGTTTCTATTAGAGAAGTCTTTGGCTCGTTGGTTTCCGAGAAGCGAACAATGATTGAAGCATAGCTACCTAGATCTTCGGTGTTGGAGCAGTTGTGCATTCGTTCTCAGTAGAGTCTTTCTTTCTCCGTTAGGGTGAAATTGGCAATTTTGAAGTTGGACTCAAAGGACATTCCATGATGTTTCAAGTATTGACTTATGACTTTTCTGGAACTTAAATGATTGACTGGATTTATGGAATTCAAGGAGAGGAAACTGCCGAGAGAGGAGGGCTGTGGTTGAAATTTGAGTGCGATGTCCACAGGTGAATTCATACAGCTTCCTCTATCAAGATTCACTCTCAACTTACACCGAATTTGTACTTGTTCGCTAGTAGAACTGTATCCCTCTCAATCATTCGTTCCACAACTCTGATGGGTGGTTCGCTCAGTTTTCTTCTCTCGTGCATGTAAAAACACGCAGCACGCCTCTGCAGACTCTAAACAGGTCCAAATGACTGATTGACCATTAGCTTTCTTTCCTCCTGCCCAAGGTACTCAGAACCTACCTCCGTCTAGTATCTAGATGAGTAGTGCGGCTCGGTGCTCAGTGACCCAGGGTATAAAGCGTAAACCCCGCTCGTAGATGTACCATATGCATATATACCATATATAGATGCAAGCTGTTTAGTCGCATACACTTGATTGAGGCTCTGGCCAGAACTCAGAACAAGCCAACGCAAGCACCCACCATGGCGTCAGCCACAGAGAACTCGTCTGACGTCCCCAAGGATTCCGACGAACCCAAACCCAATGGTCCCGAGCGAGCGGGGTCTCCTATCGCGACCGAAAAGGTCTCCTTCGACGATCGAGGCGACCTCACTCTCAGAGTCGGCAGTTTAGAAGATGGGAGCGCCGACGTGTTCGACTTCGTCGTCTGCTCTAGGGCACTGGCGCGCGCGTCTCCTGTGTTTCGGGCAATGCTGTTTGGTGGATTCTCGGAGTCGAAGCCCGAAGGAGACACCTGGATCGTGAAGCTTCCCGAAGACCGCCCTGCGCCCTTCTTCATTCTCCTCAACATCATCCATGGTTGCTTCAGCGCGGTCCCGCAGAAGCTGAAGTTGGATGAGCTCTACCAGCTGCTTGTTGTCACGAACAAGTATGGCATGTTATCGGTCATATTCCAGTGGGCGCCAATCTGGTTCGAACCTCACAAGAACCTCGATGAGATCTCGGAAGGGAACGAAAGATTATTGTGGATTGCCTGGGAGCTCGGAGAGGAAAGGACCTTTGGATTGAAATGTAAAGATTTCGTCCTTAGGTCCAAAGTCAACACCGAAGGGCAGATCGTTGACAAGATAGGGGTCCCTCTCAACACTTACGATTGTTACGAAGCCAATGGCATAATAGGTGGGTTCTTAAACACAAAGTTGTGGAATACGTTTGCTTAACAAGCCGCAATCAGATGACATCACAAAGGCTCGACAGGATATTCTGGATGAATTGAGTTCACACTTTCACGCCGCCATTCGGGAAGGGTTAGAAGGCCGAGGATGCAAAAAAGAACGGCCTAAAGAGCAGCCTGAATCGCATTATGATGGCTATCATGGATATGGGCATCCTCCTACCAAGACTCCTGCCCTGTCTGCGACTGATTGGAAAGCGATTAAGGACCGGTGCAACGACACTGCCCTGGTTGAAGTAATGAAAGCTGTCGAACGTCTTGGTCTTGGGAAATTTGGGGTACCTCAGGAAACTAGAACACGCTTTCTCGGAAACGTCAATGCCATTTGGTATTTGACTTCCAGCCTCCGATCTAAAAGTCAAGCGGTCCACAAGAGATGCTCGCCTTTAAATCAAATCATGGATCGATTCGAAGGTTCGAGGAGGGATTTCAAGTTACCAATTTCGGACAATAATCTCAACTACATGAGGAACCAGGCCAAGAAGACTGCCATTGGCGGGGATAGATCAGCAGAGACAGGGGAGCCGCAAAAGAAGAAGCCTAGATTCTGAAGCACGTAACGGGAAACTGAGCACTCTGATGCGGGGGAAAAGGTCTAACGCGTACCGTGGCTTTTGCGGAGAATCAGACGGGACGGTGACTGAGCAGTGACACTGCTGCTGCTTCATCAAGGTATGGCTTTGTATTATCAGTGCTGCAATATGTTGCCTCCAAACGTGGCCAACCAATTCTCCTCGCATTTGACAGAACAGAAAAGAAAACGCTACCGCGAAGCATACAGTGGGCCGTACTTCATCGGCGCAACTTCAAATACGAGCTCTTCGCCTGAGCCCTCTTCTCACGCAAGATGTTCCTCTCCTCGGCCGAGTACAGCCCATCTCCCGTCTTCTCCCCAAGCCTCCCCCTAGAAATGTAGTTCTCCTCCAACCAGTCCGTGTACCCGGCCTTCTTTACATCCACGACCCCCATGTTCACCCTGTTCCTTTCAACCTGCCACACAGTGTCCAGGCCCACCTCATCCATCTTCTCACAGGGCCCTTTCTCAGCGTGGAAGAAGTCCCTGAAAAGGGCGTCAATATCCCGGGGTGAAGCGAGTTCCGCCTGTAGGATGCGTAGCGTGTCTGACTTGACGGCGGACCATATCCGGTTGAAGACGAAGCCGACTGACTCATGGGGAAGTGCCAGAGGGTTGAATCCCACGCTCTTCATCTGCTTCTTTAGGAAGGGCATGAGGTCTTGGTCTGTAACGCCGCAAGTCATGAGCTCGACGTATGTATTCCGCGGTGGAAGGTGATAATGCGTGTTCAGCAGGCGTTCCGGCCGGGTAATCAGATGTCTTAGAGCTGATGTCGGCCATGTCGAGCTGTTGGACGCCAGGATACAGTCTTCAGGAACGAGTGCATCGACTTTCCCCAGCATCTCGCGCTTGATCTCTGGATCCTCGGGGAGAGCTTCAATGACCATCCAAGGGTTTCCACTGCACGATTCCTCCAAAACAGTGCTGGTCGTAACCCGACCCGGATGCGTCTCACGAACAGCACAAACCGTGGTGAGCGCATCCCCGACGTAGGGCATCGCAGAGGAAAGCACGCTCGAGTCAACGTCGTGGAGTATGACGGGCCGGCCCGTAGAGGCCCACATAACGGCTAATCGCCGACCGAGGACCCCCGCGCCGAGGATGACAACGGGCCGGGAAGTGGGGTCGCTAGGCGGCGTCCATTTCGGGGTGACGGGCGCCGCCGCTACTGCTTCTATCTTAGGAGAACGGCTTGAGAATGGGCGAATTTGATGTTGAGATGAGAAGGAACTTGATTGCCGGCATTGAGTTGTAAGTCGGGCTTTGAGGAGGAGTATTGCTGTCGTCGTTGTGGGCAGGGTTCTGGCGATTGTTGCTGGTTTTGTGATGCTTCGGCTTGTGATGCCGTTTGTAATGGTGAGTTGAGTGCGCCATAGTTGTTGACAGGTTCTTCTAGATGCCATTGTGATGCTTAGTCTTTCTAGTGTTTTTACTAGAGGCCGGAGGATATGTTGTCCATCTTATACTGTTGTTCTGTCACTTCTCGCTAAGCCGATGATGATGGCACTGTCGCATGATGAAGACAGCCGAGAGAGTGGCGTGATGTTGTCGACTAACACTGGGCTGACCTCAACTGCCAAGTTCGGGTCTTCGCGGCTAGGGTTCCAATTGCATCACGCAACTGGGGAACTCCCCAGATCTCCCCGGAAAAGCAAGGTCACTTGCTCGGGTAGTCTATGCCGCCCTACTACTAGCTTCCGCTCATTCCTTGTCTGCTTTGGGGGAGGGGAAGTTCATGATCCATCTCGGGAGTTTTGCATGGCGATGTGTAATGGCGTCATCTGAGTGAAGTCTGCTCAAAGCATACCAGATATGGCCCTCTCCAAGAAAGAAAGAAATACAAATCGTAGAAGTCAAAATAATTCAGTCAACGGATGATTGAGAAGAAGCAATTCAAGGATCTCTAACTTCAATGGTGTTCTTCTTTGAAGCAAGCCAATCTGACCATCACAAGAGCCCTAAGATGCACGAAAGTACGTACCTAAATCGATGGTGGGGTTGATGGTGCTCCATTCATTGGTCCACAGTACCAGGTACCCAATCTTTGTTCCCGAACAAATTCCGTTGGCCGATTCTTGCGTGAACAGCAACTTCATGACCAACATCTAACGCGGTCGCAAGCCTCCTTCCCGTGAATCGCGGATCGCAGCAGCCCAGTCACAGACGTTGCCATCTGAGACTTATTTTCTGCAGCCCGTGGCAAACTGCGTTCGGTGCCGCGTAGGCTATAATGTGCGGGATCCACGCGGTCGTTTCTTGCGACGGCTTCCAGTCGCTGCCCCGAGACGTTAAGACATGCCTCTGCAACCGCGGTCCGGATCATCTCGGCGAAGTTCGCTGTCAACCCCCGGGAGATAGCTCTGTCTTTCTGACTCTCACCTCGACGGTTCTGGCTCTGCGCGGTGACCACGTCACTCAGCAGCCCTTTCGCGACGCGTCTTCTGGGTCTGTCCTGTGCTGGAACGGCGAAGCCTGGAAGATTGCAGGGGAACCCGTCCAAGGGAACGACGGAGAGGCAATCTTTGCTTTGCTCACCGCGGCCAGTAGCCGCGGTACTGAAGAAGATGCGGTCTTGAATGTACTGCGCAGAATTGAGGGCCCTTTCGCGTTTGTCTACTTCGACGCGACTTCGTCCCGTCTATTCTATGGCCGCGATCGACTTGGTCGACGATCGTTGCTGCTCAATGGAGAGGGTGGAATCAGATTATCTAGCATTGCTGAGAGCACATCATCTTCGTGGGCAGAGGTGGAAGCAGATGGCATCTACGTCGTAGACTTGGCAGCCTGGGACAGTGACTCACTGAAGTCAAGCTCACCTCGCTCTTGGACACCAGGCGAGACCGAGACGGTAAGCTACATGTCTCGCACGGCATGCATTACGTTTTTGCTACTTACGATATCAGGTCCTCAACATTGGAGTCTTCAACATGGCACTCCCGCCATTGGATGTTCAGCCACTGTCAGCTGTGTCACCGTCAGTGCAGGCAGTCAAACAGCAGATGACCGAGTCGCTCAAGTTACGCGTTCTGAACGTTCCTGAACCCCCAGCCCACGATGCTGGCAACGACACGCGAGTAGCTGTCTTGTTCTCTGGCGGTTTGGACTGTACAATCCTCGCGCGAATGGCTAGCGACTTGGTTCCATCTGATAAAGGCATCGACCTGATCAACGTGGCTTTCGAGAACCCTCGCTTAGCAGCGAAGGCTGACAACTCCCCTGGTGCGCCAAGTCTCTATGAGGCTTGTCCAGACAGAATCACGGGAAGGAAGTCCTTTGCCGAGCTGACGACTGTCTGCCCAGCTAGAAATTGGAGCTTCATCGCCGTAGGTTCCTTTAGCTTTATACAGCTATCTGCCCTTACTGACCCTTGGCAGGTTGACGTTCCTTACCAGGAAGTACTCGAGCACCGGAGCCAAGTGATCTCTTTGATGTATCCCCATAACACGGAGATGGATCTCTCCATCGCCTACGCCCTCTACTTTGCCGCCCGCGGCATCGGCATGTCACAAAGTAGCCCGTCAGACCCAGCCGTCAAATATACCACGCCAGCGCGAGTGCTTCTCTCTGGCCTCGGGGCCGACGAACTCTTTGGCGGCTATGTACGGCATACCACTGCATTTTCAAGGAGGGGCTACCCGGGCCTGCTCGAGGAACTCAAGCTAGATGTTAGCCGGCTGGGCAAGCGCAACTTGGGACGCGACGATAGAGCCATGTCTCACTGGAGCCGGGAAGTACGATTCCCGTTCCTTGATGAACAGTTTGTGAAGTGGGCCATCGAGTGTCCGGTCTGGGAGAAGTGTGACTTTGGGTATCCCGAAGGCGACTCGGGGGTCGATCCTGAGAAGCGAGTGCTGAGGCTTCTTGCGAGGGATCTTGGCATGGGCGCAGTTGCCCAAGAGAAGAAGAGAGCGGTAGGTTTTACTCTATACTCTGAGGGCGGCTGAGTATCCCCCGGGCTAATCATTCGACTAGATTCAATTCGGCTCGAGGACCGCAAAGATGGAGAGTGGAAAGACAAAGGGAACAACACTCATTGCTCCATGAGTATAAACTGGGAGACAAGTGCTTCCCACGCCTGGCGATGATGACGTACAGATACTTCCGAGCCGGCGGTCCCTTGAACGATATTGCCAGCGACTGCGCGTTTCTGCTTTGCAGTAACCCTTTGCTTGCAGCATACGTTCAAGTTAATAACTAGGACCGCCGGCGATGATGTCGTAAAGGCAAGTCTGAGCCAGAAGATAGATGAGCTAGATGTACCTTACGAATTTAGCCAAGGATTTACGGATAATTTCGACGCTCTTCGCAATCATGGTTCCATTTCCTGAAGCTCACTTCAGCCACGTTGTTGGCCATGTCAATCAGCTTGTGTAACCGAATCCTCATTCACCACGACTGAAACTCGAGTGGCCAGAAAAAGTCTCACAGATCGAATGCCGACGGCAATCCTGTGAGACAGCGACACAGGGTAAATGATCCTACTGCTACCCGGCAGTGCCCATGCAAGCCGACATCACGCACATGTCCCAGCCGCCCCTTGCCTGAGCCTCGAGGTTTCCTGCATGGGGTGCCACCAACAGCGTCCCCATCCCGGCTTGGCAGCAGTCGCTTAGCTATTCTCAGGCCCTAGGCGACACAAATGGCCCTGTCACAGCCTTTCTGGTGGGGAAGCCACGGGCTGTGCTGTCTCTGTGTGATCCTGCTGCCTTGACGATCAACCCACAAACAACCCCAGCGCGGATAATGTGCTGCATGTTTCTCAGCCGGCATTCTTATCTTAAAGCTAGCTGGCCTTTCTTTCCCTTTAAGGTTGTCGAAGTCTTTCACCACAATGCTAGACTGCGAGTGTTGTCTGGTTGTAATTTGAGGGCTCGTTCCTGGTCACTAGATGACCAACCATGCACCATCTTGAAGGTCCCTGGGCGGCGGCAGATAGCACCAGGCGTCCGCCATACAATTCGGAGGCATCGGACCTCTCAAGAGATGATCGGCGACCGCTCATTCATGTGCAGTCCACCGACTCGGCAAAGACCCGCATCGAGCCATTAGAGTCTGGGCAAACCCAACGACCCAAGACCTCAGTGACCGCCGAGCCCGGCGCCGCCCATGTCACCGGCGCTCCGCACGGATCTTACAACAAGCTGTCTAACACAGACTGGGGCTCGGCCGAGTTGCCTCGTCACGGTGGATGGGACTACACACCAGGGAGAACAGACACAAAGTCCCATCTATCCCACAGAGAATCCGGTCTCACTCCTTCTGCACCCAAGCAGCCATGGAGCACATCCCTCAAGGGCTGGCTACCAGAGCTCATATGGTCAATCATAAGCATCGCCTCCGTCGCCGCTCTCGCCGGGGTGCTATCCCGCTTCGATGGCCAACGACTGCCCGAATGGCCGCTAGGCCTGACACTCAACACTCTCATCGCCTTCCTCGCGACGCTGGCGCGAGCTGCGTTTGTTATCCCAGTGTCTGAGAGCTTGTCGCAGTTGAAGTGGCTCTGGTATCGCAAGGCGAGGCCGTTGAAGGATTTTCAGGATTTCGACTCGGCTAGCAGAGGACCTTGGGGGAGTATTCAACTGTTGAAGACGACTAAGGGTTGGTGAGTTTTGTGTTCTAGTGATGGTGAGAAAGGTGTGGCGTGTGCTGATGCTATCCGCAGGTCCCCGAGTCTCATTGCTACGATTGTCATGATCACGGCAATCTTCACGTCGACTTTGACGCAATCCGCCGTCACATACCCCGTCCGCCTCGCGCGCGTAGACGGTGATGCGACAGTGCCCCGATCAACATCGTACTTCTTTAGTACATCCAATACCTTCTCCAGCCGTACGTCCAATCCTTAAATCCTCATCTGTATCTTGTATTTACTAAAATCCCTGTGCGCAGTTCAGCAAGAAAACTACGTTCAACAATCCATCTTCGAAGGCCTAAGCTACGATCATACCCAAGAATTCCCCCTTAGCCCGGCCCGCTGTCCCACGAGCGAGTGCCAGTGGGAAACTTACAGCTCGCTGAGCATCTGCGCCAAATTTTGGAACGTCACGGATTCGCTGAACGTCACGATCAGAGAGACGCCTACTGGGACACCGCGGGTGAAAGCCTCGCTTCCCAACGGGATATCTGCGGACTTGAGCAGCAATCACTTTGGTCTCGTCAGTCTACGGGGCACGAGTAAGCCGATTGTCTCGGATGTGGACCCTGAGGCGGCGCTGTTCAACTTCACGGTGATTTACTCCCTGCGAGACGGCGTCGAAGGCACAGTCGGAGCCACGGAAGCTGTGCTCTATCTCTGCGCAAAGACATACAACCTCTCCTTCAACGGCAACATTGAATCGCGCAAAGTCGTCGAGATCACCTCGGACGTCGAACAGGGCTCCATCACGTTCCCCTCCGGCCAGGTACGAGACGACCTACCCGCGATACGAGACCCCCTCAACCCCGATGGCGAAAACTTCCCCTACGGCGGTACCGGGTTCGGCGCGATGCAGGGCAGTCTGAGGAATGCGCTCAACGGGTCGTATTCGGATCTCAGTAACGTGCCGAGTGCACTCGGTCTTGCGCCGGCTCGGTACCTGGCTGCGATACAGTACGGCGCCAAGACGTTGGAGGCGCAGGGGCGGGAAAATGTGTCGCAGGAGGTTGTGATTAATGAGGCTGTTGCGAATATTACGAATAATGTTGCCAGGAGCTTGTCGAATCGGTATGTCCCCTGTCGATTCCCCTTACGTTGAATAGGTAAACGAGGTTACTAACGCAAGAACAGCATAACAAATGATACCACAATCGCAAGTGGGCAAGCACTCGCATCGGAAACATTCGTACAAGTTCGCTGGCCTTGGCTTGCGTTTATATCCTGTCAGGCCGTGCTTTCCATCATGCTCCTGGCTCTCGCCATCGTTCAGACCAAAGCAGCGGGTATCGGGGTGGTGAAGAGCTCTACGCTACAGGCCATGGTCGCTATCAACTCCAAGGATAAGCAGGCTCTTGAGATTGGGCTCGCGCAGGGGCATCATCAGGAAGAGGTGGATGATGTTGTTAGGAGAGGGCCTGGGATAGCTTGGAGCTTCGGTATGGGTGATCGGGGATGGAGTCTTCGCATATAGTTGTGTCTGCCATAAGGTGGTAATCCCTGGCACGCCCGCTTTATGAATACTCACGCTATTCTATCTCACGTCCATCCTTCCAACTTCTATTCCCCCAACATTATGTCACAGGTATGATTAGACCATGCCGAAGCAGCGAAAACATAGACTCCAGAGTTACAGCAATTGGATTGACTAGGGGCCTTGCGCATCCTAATCGCGTCGCTGCAAGTGATAATCAGTCTCCACTTCCCGACAACCATCAATTGCTTTAAAATTCGGTCCGCGGAGATGATTCATCCGCACCCAATGACTCTTCTACCACCTCTATTCTCGCCTTGACATCTTCCATGTAGATAGGTACAGTAGAGACAACATTCGCAATGTCTCGACAGCTTCTACACCGCGGACTCGCCGAAACAGGCCTCCTGGCCCTCGGCAGATCCCACCCCGACATCAAATTACTATGCCTCCAGCGCTTCGTGCGCATGTTCGCCTACGGCGCGACGACCTTGCAGCTAGTGGCGTACTTTGAACTCCTCGGCCTCTCGGCGACGCGAATTGGTCTGTTCATGGCGTTTACGCTCGTCGGCGACGTCTGCATCAGTTTAGTTCTCACTTCCATCGCCGATGGCGTCGGGCGGAAGGCGGTGCTAGCTGCAGGCGCGGCTTTGATGGCTGTTAGCGGTGTTGTTTTTGCGACGTGTAGCGGGTTTTGGGTGTTGTTGGCTGCTGCTGTGGTGGGGGTTATAAGTCCAAGGTATGTTTCACACATCCCTCTCAAGGAATTCAGAAGAGTGAGGTTGATTACAACCAGTGGCGCTGAAATTGGACCTTTCCGGGCTGTGGAAGAGAGTATCGTCGCGCATCTTACTACCGCTGAGGATAGGAGCGATGTCTATGCCTGGTATAGCCTCATGGGTGCGGCCGGAACTGCCTTTGGGGCGATGACGAGCGGCTGGACGGCGCATTACTTGACGACGAGTGCTGGCTGGAGCTTTGAGCATGCGTATCGCGTGGTCTTTTACGGGTACGCAGCGCTTGGTGTGCTCAAGCTTTTCCTCGCATTGCTTCTGAGCCGTGATATTGAGGCAGAGCGGGAGGAAGCTGGGGCGTCTGCGGAAGAGACGACTCCGATTCTGGGCGAACGATCGGCTGAGAGGGAATTCGAGGTCAAGACTTGGCGGTCGAAGATTGTTCCGAGGATTGAGAGGGAGAGTATGCCTGTTGTCGCTACCTTGTGCTTCTTCTTTGCGCTTGATTCTTTTGCCTCGAGCTTGACTACCCAGTATGTTCCCACTTACTCCTTTTGTGAGTATTAACGCTGACATATTCCAGGTCCTGGATCGCCTTCTTTTTCCGGTGGAAGTTCAACGTGGACGATGGAACTTTGGGCTCTTTATTCTTCACCACGAGCCTGCTGGCAGCGGCCACAACTCTAGTCGCATCCTCGATAGCCAAGCGAATCGGCAACCTCAACGTACGTGAACAACGAACCACTCCCCTCTAAATCTCCATAAGCTCATTTCACTGTCCGCTAACTTTCACTACACAGGCCATGGTCTTCACCCACCTCCCCTCGACAATCTTCACCGCACTCATCCCTCTCCCGCGAGACGCCACCATGGCCATCGTGTTTTTGATCTTCCGCGCCCTGACGCATTCCATGGACGTCGCGCCGAGAGCCGCTTTCCTTGCTGGCGTGATCTTGCCCAAGGAGCGCACTACTGTGTTGGGCTTGATCAATGTTTTGAAGACGTGCACGTCGAGTGTTGGTCCCGTAGGTGTGGGTATCTTGGTAGATAAGAATCTCTTCTGGGTTGCTTTTGTGGGTGCTGGATGTCTCAAGGTTGTGTACGATCTTGGGATGTTGGTTTCGTTCCGCAAGCATGAGCGAGAGCTACGGGATGGAGCGGCTGGGAGTGCTTAAAAGCATGGTACAGCCACTTCGTGGGTAAGGCACATACAAACCTTTGGCTGTGCAGGGGCTATCGCCATTGTTCTCCATGATAAGCTCGTAACAAAAAACCTCAAGAAGATGTGGTAATCAGTCATGTGTATTCAAGCTATCAGCCAATGCCTCCATCTTTATCCATGTCTCTGTCAATTGCTGCAGAATCTCCAAGTCCACGGACTACACATGCCAGCCAAGATCCTGTTGGACAGCCTAGGAGTCGCAAGATCCGAAAGAGCTGGCGATCCAGTTCCTGCAGCAAGCATCGAACTGGGCGGCGGTCTCTTGTCGGTTGGGGCAGTAGAAGGCAGCATTGTGGAAAGGTCCAGTGACGACGCCGTCTAGTCACGCGTCAGTATCCCGCATAAGACACAGAAGGAGAGAAAAGAAAAGAAGGCACTTACTACCGCAGCAGTGGGCGGTGGATCCCTGGGAGCCTTGGTCGTTACCGTCCTGGTTCTTGAACTACATTCCTGATAGTCAGCTCTGCAAATATTATGTCGAACACATCAAGCTTCCTTTAAGCCCAATGTTACGAGAGTGAGTGATACGTACGAGACACACACAGGTGCGAGCATCGACCAAGCTGCTGGAGATAAGCAGCATGGCAACGGTAGAGATGATGGAGGTCTTCATTTTGAGTTTTGGTAGAGGGGTTGGAATGGTAACTTGATGTTGTAATGAGTTTGTGAGATTGCGTTTGTCTACCGGTCACATTTTCTGTTCACTGATCGGCGAAGAGTTCCAGGCTCTATATAGGATTCGCATACTCGCAGAACTTCCAAACTTTTGAAATCGTGGGAATCCTTCTCGAAGACAACTGTTGAAGCTACGATACGAGAGTCCTGCAAAAGTTAATTAGATGCCAATCTATCACCCCGGAGTTAGCGGAAGACAACAATCATCACTAATAAAGCTCATGTTTGGACTTTTTGCAGTTGTAGTTGGGTGTTTTCCGTGCCCCATGTATCCACATACTAGTCTGCCCCCCGAGTCATACAGGTTTCCCTACAGAGCCACTATATCGTTGACAACTCACTCAGGGGGTTAGGTGGTGTCGTAAATCCTGCCTTTAGAAATAGCACTCAACCTAGAGAAAAAGCTAATTTAGATTATCTCTGAAAGCTTAGCAGGCCCGGAGAACAGCGCGCACACGAATACGTCGGTTTCGCTTTCTAATAGTTACCATTCAAGGTCCGTCGATCATTCTACCAAATCGGCTCAGTTCGAATTTTTCGCCTCATAAACGCGCCGAGTTCCTCCCGAGCTGCCAAAAAGAGGTCATATTCCCCGGAGTCAGCTCGGCTAAAAGCTTATATTGCCTCTTCAACGATGTGCCCTCTTGTTTTCAGCACCCGATTTACATGGTATCACGCCTGCAGTAGCATCGCAAGCTAGTTCTTAGAAATGAAGAACGCCCTGGAGCCCATACAAGGTCCGGAGAACGGTTTCCGACAGTCCCTGTCCGTGATACCCGTGGGGGAGGGGAAATGATCTATCCGTATCCATTTTCGCCGTAGAAGCCGAAGCCTCGAACCCTGAAACTCCGAGTCATGTCTGACGGTTCACTTTCCAGCCTCGAGAACCACTTGAGAAAGTATAAGAAAATCTTGGACAACTGGGGATATGCATACAGTTCCTGCTCCGGACTACGGAGTTCGGACGAATCGCTGAGCGCCGGCGGTGAAGCCGAATACTAGCGGTTTGCTTCTTTGCGCACCGAGTACCGGTCAAGAGGCAGGTACAAGATGCTCAAAAACATGCAATGAATCTGGACCAACTCAGAGACTGCTCTCGAAACTCTTGGGAGAGAGGGAAAATCCTAAGGTTCATCTTTCGTCCAGGAGAAAGCTTCTTCTCGGCGTTCGGACCGGCCCCACATCGCCGGCAGGGCCGATATGATCACTCGCACCTTCTCGAATCTCGCCCCGGAAGTTACGAAAACCCCGACCAGCTCCTTCTCTCTCCTGAACCCTCAAATGACCTCGGTGTTCAAATCTTCCGGCTAAAGGCAGCTCGACTTCTCTCTCTGTTCCTCCCTCCACAACTGCTGAACTCAAAATCATCGCCCACTTTCCTACTTCTTATCGATCCGTTGGCCTTCCTGACCGCGATTTAGAGTTTCAAGCCTCACCTGAGAGATTATACACCAACTTGATGATAGACCGGTCTCTTTCGACGAATCCACAGCGGATAGATCTGCCGTCTGCGGCGTATTACGTACATTGCTCTGGTTGTTAACCAGTGCCAGAAACGATCCCGATGGCGACAAGGGCATATGCGACCATCAAAAGGCAAAGGCTCCAAAGATCCCCGAGGCAATGCTGACTCTAACCGTGTCAACGGCGAAAGGTTCTGCAATCGTCGTAAGCTCCCAGCACCCTCTGCAGCTCTAGTCTAGGCATCGCCGCTTGACGGTTCCTCGCAATCTGCTTCAGATGGTCCCCGCAACGTCCATCTGACGTATATGGTCAATAGGTTCATACTACATCTTGCCTACCACGACAGGTTCTGGATGTGTGCATTCGACTGTCGAAAAGCATTGGCAGCCGGAGATGGCTTGCAGCGCATACTTCCAAGATCGGACATGGCATTATCGAGAATTTCCCACAATGTCTGCTCTGGACTTTAGGACGTTCGAGCCAACAGGGTCGCTTGCCGAAGACAAGAGTTATCTGGCAGGTGCCAAAATCATGAAGCATCATGCCAAAGCTTTGGACGAAAAGGATTGCGCGACTCGATCTCGTGCTGCAATGCCGCGTACCGGAGGACCTGGCTCAGCAGTCCCCAAGTATGGTGCGGCTGCGATGGTTTGAGAGCGATAGCATACACGCTATGAATTTCAGAAACGGACTGGATCCAGAATTGCCTTTCACGGAAAGCAGAGCGACGTTTCGTTTCCAGGTTCCATGCTGTTTAGAGATGGGATGGAGAAGGTCTCGAAGGGAGAGAGGCTGTGCTTCGTTGGCAAGGATTAACTGCCATACATGACTCCTCAGATCTGTGGAGAGACAACTCAAATGATTTTTGACTAACAAATGGGCGAGTAGGGTTTGTCGAAAACACCAATTGGCGTTGTGCAACATTTCGCTGACCAAGACACACAGGGAAACCATCATCGACTTATCTTCCCTATGTCGGCCCGAGGCTGCGAAGAATCCGGATGGGTTCAGGTCCCGGCACACAATTAAAGATGTCCAGGGCGGCGGTCCGAATGCCATTCTGTCTAAGCTTTGGGAAGATGCCACCGACGGGGGCGTGGACATTGATCGAGGTTCATCTGGTCTGAGACTCGTCCGAGCCAGAAAACAACCACCGGAGAATGGACACTGGCGGTTAGAACTTGGTTTGCTGGCCCCTGGGAGAGACGGCAAGAGTCAGGGCCCCCTTGTAACAAACCCCACGGAAGCGAAGAAGAGTGTTGCGCTTGGCAAAACTTCAGACCGAGCCTCACCAGGGCATCAGGGGCCACCATCGACTGGACAGCGCCGCAACGGGCTATTTCTAAAGATGGTGGAAGCTAAGAACAGTCCGGTGAGCGGCCCCGCACGACGCGGTCCATGTTCAAATGTTGTGGCACTTCGTGATGCCCCTGGAAACCAGACTACTGCACGGGACGGCGTCGAGTGCCGGTGCAAGGGGGGCGCACGCATAGGGTTGGGGAGCTGTATGATCTGCGCAGGGCCCATTGGCTTTGAGTGGCTGTTACCAAGGACCAAAAGATGCATGCTGCATTCGGGGACGCGGTGCTGTTGCAGCTCGCAGCTCCGTTGCACCAACAACACGGTCACACGGGTTCGGTTTGGACTCTGGAGAGACCGGTGCCCCCCTAGAAGAAGCCAAGAGATATCTGCATCGCATGAGACGTCCGGCTCAAAACCACGAGGTTCTCCCGCAGATGCTCGCCCGGCCGAAGTCTGAGTCTCTTTCGACTTGTTTTCCTTCTTTTCGACATCTTCCAACGCCAGACATACATCGGAAGGCCTCGATCGATCCATTACCGCCTCGCTGGTCGCTGTCTCTGTTTCTTCGCCGAAGGGGTTTCTGCGCTTTTTATCGTTTTCGTGTTTCTCAAACCTTGTCCGGACTTGCCCTGGGCCAGCACCCATCATCATCATCATCTCGTCCCATCCCGTACATGATTGATCGCCGATTTGGCTGAAAACGGTCGTCCAATCGTCCACCTCTCCAATATTGGCTTCAGCCCAGGTTTAAGAAAAGATCAAAGTACAAACTCAACACCACACCGTCCCGTCTGCGACGTGAACCTTTTGCGAATCCGCGTCTACTTCTTACCTTCGGACCTGTCACGACTCTTGCTCGCCAACCTTCGCTCCCTCCCGCTCTAACACGTAGAGTAACACTCATCCCACCCGGCGTCATCTCATGCCACGTTCCAGAATCCCGAGGTTTATCTTATTTCGATAATTGTTCAGCACTGCGACTCTTATTACTACCCGAACTTGCCTTATCGCTTTCTTTACTTCCCGTCTGAGACATCCGCCGCGTCGGTCACTAGTACCTATTCTCTATTCTTCGTTCCTCGCTTTTTGCGCCTTTACCCTTTTGACATATTTTCCCCATCGAATCTCATTTGGTGTCCCCATCTTCTCATAACAGAAAACGTCACTGGCATGCTGGGCAATCTCCAAGCGGAAAACTAGTCGAAACAGAGGAAGGAAGGAAAGAAACGAAAAAAAGAAGGGGAAAAAACACAACGGGACTCGTCACCGCCGAGAAAGGATCATGCTGAAGGCCGCCCGCGCAAACTCTCAATCCTCTTCACCTCTTTTCGCCCGCCTTTGATCTCTCGGACCATCGTGTTGTTGTTCAACCAACTCGAGATCTCTGGTGGTGCAGCGGGCAAAAACACACCCATAATAGCCACCACCACCACAACACAATGGAGCGCCCCCACCGTCCTCCGCCGCTCACAATCCCCCCGCCGCCCCGAAGCCGGACCCGAGTCCGGAGACCTCGCCGTCCCAACGCACAACAGGCGCGACAGTTCAAGCGATGGCTGCTCCGCGCCCAAATCGCCAATGACGTAGCGCACGTCGCCGCCGCATCGATACTCTTATGGATCATGTCGTGGTTCCTCTACAACGTCTCGTTTCCTTTGACATATCCCGCAGGGTTCGTCACCATATCCCCTCACATCTACTATCCACTCGATATTCAATACATACTGACCGTGATAAATAGTCCCGCCGCCGTTGCCCTGATCGCGATCCTCTCCACAGACATCCTCCTCGACGCCCGCTCAATAGTCCACGCTCACGACCCCTGGCCAGGCTGGACCCTCCTCATCCGCCTCGTCCTAGGCGCCTCCCTCATCGCAATCTTCTGGGTCTATATCTCCCTCGGTGACGTCTTTGCGCGCGGGTTCACGTACTGGGGTATGTCCGACAGCTATGGCCGCGTGCTGGCGTACATGTTTCTCTGGGGCATCGGGCTCTGGGATTTGCTTTTTGTATTACTGTGTCGGCATTGGCTGGGCAAAGAGGTCAAGAGGTACGGGGAGAAGGCGAGACAGGTGTTTGGGAACGAGAATGGGAGAAGGAGGGGGATTAGAGGGAGGATGTCGCCTGGTGGGAGCGCGATGAGACTCGGGAGTGCGGGTGGAGAGCGCCCTGAGCGGATTGGTGTCGTCGATCTCGAGGCTGCGAGGCCTGTTGAGGAGGGCGACGGCGGTGATGTCGGTAGGGAGAGGGTTGGGTTACCTGTAAGGATGGGCGTGAGAAGAGTCAAGAACAGCGTGAGCGCGAGCGTCAACTCCGTCGCGAGCGGGACGGGGCCGGGGAATGGGATGGGAAACGAGGATTCATCGCCACCTCCGCCTGCATTTATGAGGCCTGCATGACGATCGTCGGGAGTACGAGGCTTGGGAAGCAAGATACCTGGCATAGCATAGTTACAGCCACGAAAAGAAACCTACATTAGTTAATGATAATCAATATCAAATGCCAACTATTACTTTTTTTTTTTGCATCTAAAATGTGACGTGGCATATAGGACGACGTGTCCGTCTGATGGCGACATCGGTTCGTCTTGCCGAGTATCTACCTCAATTCGTCTGATTTCTCTCCAGGGAGCATGAATGATAGACGGACGTATTTCAGACGTCGTCTGTTGCAGCACATCATTCCATTTTTATGCACTGATAATAAAAGGTGTTATGTGAACTGAGTCGTGAGGGTATATCAGCGCGCAGTGAGTCTTAGTACGCCAAATTAACGCTCAAGGACAGCTACATTAAATACTTTCAAGTTCCGACTCCAACATATCAAAGACAGCTACATCACATGCTTTCAAATAGCCTCTCTAAGAAGCACTTAGAAGCACCATAAGAGTGAGACGATGTTGCTGATGTAATGCAGTCAGGCTGCGGGTATCAATTCTACAAAGACTTCCTTCTATCTCGACATTTGTAACAATCCTACACCTATCGAATGTTCCCTGCCTAGACTTCTGCGTTTATTTGGGGTCCTTTTACAGGTGCCATGGCTTCATGTGAGCCATCTCTTTGGATGTAGAGTAGGTCTCGTCAGCGACGACTGTGCCAGCCTGTTTGCTTCGCTTCGTCTGCCGTCCCTTCGTCGAGGTCTCGATGGCATCAGCCTTGGGCGTGGCAGACGCAGGTGGCTAGCCTGCTTCCGTATCGGACTCGCCTGTCAAGTCCACCATCTGCGCATCAACGTCCCCAAGAGTCGCCGCCGCACGAGCAGCGCCATCTGTGATGCCCGCCAACTTTTTGTGCAGAAATCCCAGTGCCTTGTCCCGCTGTTCTTTGTCGAAGCTCTCATACTGAGGATTGCCGGGCTGCTAACCCGCAAGAGGCTCCATAATCTGCTTCCCGTACTTGTCAACCATGAAGTGACTGAACGCCTCCTCGTCGTTGTCGTCGTACAACATCGGGTCATCCTTCTCAGACTTCAGCCGCTGGTAGAGACCATGTCCGGCTTTAGGCCAGGATTCGGGGAGTGCGTCCTCCGAGTCTTCGGCGTCTGCCTCTGCTTGATCGGCTGCGCCGGTGGGTGCGGTCTTGAGGATCTTGCGGACGCCGCCTGTTTTGGACCGCTGCTTTGAGGGCTTGGAAGCCGGACGGTGATCTTGCTGGCGGCGGGGCTGTGACTCTCGATATTGCTGTGTTGTGTTAGTCCGTATGCTTTAGGATGGGGCAGATGAGGGTGGAAGACGTACAACTTTTGGTTCGGCCCAATCTGGCGAGCCGAAGAGAGGCAGGTCGGGGTGCTTCTTAGAGACAGAGGCGAGGACGTCTACGAGAAGGCCGGGGTGGATTTGTTCGCTGAATAAGAGGAGATTGAGGAGATCGCTCCTCTTGAGACCTGAAAAGTACTCTCGTCTCTGCAAGCGCGTCAGCTTGGGTCTAAAGTTCTTGCTTGTCTCTATGACACTCACCTCACTGCCACTGGCACTGCCTCCTTCAAACCCAATGAGGCTCGGCTTAGGGAACTGTGGTAGGGTGGCAAGCTTCTTCTCGCGCTTCCTCTCCACCTCGTTGTGGTGCCTCTTCCACTCCGACTGCTCCTGCTTCGCCTCGCGGTACTTTGCAAGTTCGCGCTGATACTTGGCCTGCTGCTTGTCCTCCTCCTTACAGGTAACGCACTTGAACTTGGAGGAACCGCCGCCCAGGGCGTCTGCCGAGATCTCTGGGTCATGACAAAGCTGGTGCCAGGCCTCGCCGCAGCCGCAGGGGACGATGGGGTTGCCGTCTGGGGCAGAGATGCGGTTGCACTTGACGCACATTGGGTTTCCGCTGCCGTCATCCTTGGTGCGCTTCCTCTTCACCGGCGGTCTAGGTACGGGACGCTTGAGGATTGCGGGTTCCTGGTAGGCGGGGATGTTTGCGGATTTTCGGGAAGCCTCATCTTCCGCTGCCGCGCGCTTCCGCTTTGCTCCAGAAGATGGCACTGAGCTGGGCGGAACTGATTGGGGTTCTGCGTACGGGAGATAAACAGTCATAGGCAGGTGCGAGTAGTCCACGGGTGTATCTTCGACTTTCTCTGGGGCGACCTCAGGAGTTGGAGGAGGAGGAGGAGTTGCGACGAGATGGGGCGGTGGTGATGCTGGGGTAGCACCTCTGTGACGACTCATGATGAATCGTGAAGTCGCAAGAGAGAACTGTGGCTGGTACGACTGCTGTTCAATAGCTGGCGGAGGAGCTGACACACGAGGCGGTGTCTGTACATCATGGCGATGCTCAATTGGCGCAGGCTCAATTTGTATTTGCGCAATCGGCGCAGGCAACTGCTCGTGAGATTCGGCTTCGATGGGAGCTGTTTGCACATCTTCTGGCTGTGTTTGAACGGTCGTCGTGGGCAGGACTTCCATTTCGACTGTGGTATCAATTTCGGCGAATTGAAACTCATCTGTGGCTTCTGCATCGATTGCCATAAGGTCTGAAGCCGATGGGTCTGACATGTTGAGATTGAAAGGTGCGGCTTGTGCCGTGATACAGGCGTGTAAGGTGTGGATGGCTTGTGAGAGCTATCGAATGCTGGTGAAGCTAGCAGAGCAAGAAGGTGATGCAAAGGACGAGATATTCCAGCTTCTGGATGCAGAAGCTCAAATTAAAAAGACTGGCCCATCGATTAATGAGGAATATAATTTGAGGCAACGGGTATCTGTTTCGAAGAAAGAAGAAAATAATGACGGCTTGCTGTGTACGCAGGAAGTCAACCGCAGAAATGCCATCAAACACGCGACCACTGTGAGTCGCGGATGTCACGTGCATCATTTACCGAGCTCACCGAGAAGGCCCGCACCCTACGTGCCTTCCCACCTTGGAGTCCCTCGGTCAGCCAGGCCAATCAAGGTGAGGCAGGAAAGACGGAGACCAGAAGCGCAACATGCACAATACATGGCGGTACTCTCGACTCGCGTTTGGTTTTTCTTCCTTCTTATTCTTGTTTTGATGTATCTTAGGCATTGTGCGCAAAAGACCTTGGGGCTGGTTCAAGTTTACATTGTAGTGCAGTGAACAGACAGGCTTAGGCGATCGAAAACGCCCATAGCATCCCACCTTCCGGGGATTAAGATTGCAGTGAAATGCTGTGCGTGTCGTTGCAGCTTCTCAAGTGCTAGGAGGATGCACGCATCTTCATCCGATTAGCCGACTACAACAACATACATCAACGATCAAATCCGCTTCTTTGGTCATGCAAATGGCCTTTGGATGGGTTAAAATTGCAGTGCTTGCGCGTGGCGGAACTACGGTCACGCCATGCACGCCCGTATTTATAATCTTCTATCACCTTACTCTAGGTATTGTTCTGCTGCTGAACCAATTGCATGGTCCCTCTTCGAGATTCACAACCCAACCCCTTGGAGGGTAAAAGTTGCAGTGAAAGTTCCGCACTGCAAGCGGATACCCGTTCCCACCTACCCGACCACACCCTCTCCCTTCAAAGCCCGAATCCTCTCCTCCGAGAACCCAAGATGCCCCCCCAAAACCTCATCAGTATGCTGCCCCAACGTCGGCGGCACACTCCTCACGCTCGGCTCGCTCTCCGAATACTTGACCGGCGTATTCACCATCCGAATCGGCCCGCACTCCTCGTGCTCCATCTCGACAACCATGTTCCGCGCCTTCGTATGCTCGTGCTCCAGCGTGCCCTGCACATCATTCACCGCCGCGTACGGCATCCCCTTACCTTCGAACACGCGTAACCACTCCGCCGTCGTCTTGGTGACGGTGACTTGCTCGATGAGCGCCTCGAGCTCGACGCGGTTGGCGACCCGTTGTGCGTTTGTCGCGTATTTTGCGTCGTGCTGCCATTCTGGTTTGTTTAGTCCCTGGCAGAGGATGCCGTAGAGTCGGTCGTTGCCGCCGCCGAAGAGGATATCACCGTCTTTTGTCTTGAAGGATTTGTACGGCACGATAGAGGCTTGCACAACGTCAGCATGTTCTATGAGAAAGAATGAGCAGCGAGTGAAACTTACGATGCGCGGTCCCCCATCGTCCAGAATCCTTCTTCCCACTAATCAGACAACTACTCGCAATATTCGCCAACGTCGCCGTCTGGCAATCACTCAGCGCCACATCAATATGCTGTCCCCTCCCCGTCCGCCCCCTCGCGAGCAACGCCGCCATGATACTGTTACTCGTATACAAACCCGTCGTGAGGTCCGTAACAGCGACGCCGACCTTGACGGGTTCCCCGTCGCGGCTGCCTGTGATGTGCATCAACCCGAACTCAGCCTCGACCATTACATCGTAGCCCGCGCGGTCCGAGTACGGGCCAGTTTGGCCGTACCCTGTGATGGAGGCGTAGATGAGGCCCGGGTTGATGGCGCGGAGGGTGTCGTAGTCCATTTTGTACTTTTTGAGAGTGCCGGGGAGGTAGTTCTCTACGAGGATGTCGCATTGCGAGACGAGCTTGTGGAGGATTTCTGTGCCGGAGGGGTGTTGGAAGTTGAGGCCTAGCGACTTCTTGTTGCGGTTCACCTTGTGTGGATGAGTTAGCTCGGTTCATATCTGTGACTGGAGGATACTCACTGCGAGGAAGTAGGCCGATTCGCCGGGTCCTTCTTTGGAGGAGCCGGCTTTGTAGGTTGCGTAAGGAGGACCCCATGCTCGAGTGTCGTCGCCGCGAACGGGATGTTCGACTTTTATCACCTCGGCGCTTCAATGGCGTCAGTACGAGTTGCTTAGTATGAGAAGATGGGTGAGATCAACTGACCCCAAGTCTCCCAGAATTTGTGTACAGTATGGCTACATCAGTCAATGTTAGCTTCCAATTTCGGAAGTACGGGAGTAATGATGCTTACTCCAGCCAATACTCTCGTCATGTCCAGCACACGATACCCCTCAAGCGGCAGCTTATTGCTCGGTACCGATGAGTACCGACGCCACGCCGTCGGAAGGCGTGAGGACTGCGGACATGACCGCGCAGCCCTGGAGACTATCCGGGAGGAGATTCTAAGTGATGAGGAAGCCATTGTCTAGGTCTTTAGACAAAATCATAAAAGAAATGAGGACAAGCTTTCGCGGGGAAGTTGTTGAACAAGTTCGAGACCGGCATCATCGATGTTGGCGACTTGGTTCCCCAGCTCCGACCCCGGTCTAGCTCCGGTCCGTTGGCGGGGATGCCGTCGGGTAGGCCTCGGCATTATCCTGGTCGCCATTTATGTGGCTTAGGTAATTTAGCACAGACCATCACAGACTGCCTTCATCGGCTCTGAAACTCGGCCTCAAATGTCCCGTCTGCAAGTTAACGCGGTTGAGGGCACAACAGACATAGTATCGAACCAAAGCAAGCCGCTCATTCATATCAAGCTTCTATCCTGCTATTAATATTCTTACATATGGCGTTTATGTACTTCTGGCCGGATATCGAGCAGCACTGACACCGAACGCCTCCCAAAATGCGGGCAAAGGAGAACAAGAAATCTCACAACGGATTTGGCCAACCATCTTCAAACTAAATACGTCATCCCAGCACTTCTCGATCCCGAACTTGTACAGCATTCAGCTGCTCTCGGTCACCTCCAGTTGTCTTGAAAACTCACAAATGACGTTGCCCAGGGACCTCAAGAGTCTGCCGGCGTCGAGTTCGCGGGCCTTCAGGCGATCCAGCCGGAGAAGAAGGCGAGCCTGGTCGCCGCCGCGATGGCGATCGTGAATAAACAGGCTCCGAGTTGTTCCTTGGCCTAGCTCTGCTCGGTGGCGGAGGCGACAATGGCGATTCCTGTGATATGGGTGATATAGGTCGTGGCGTCGCGGGCCCGCCTTCGCTTCCTGAGTGGTGTCCTGGTGATACTGGCTCCTGTGGTTCATGTTCTCGGTATGTGCTGTACTGTTCAGCCGTGTCTTTCAAGGCGGAACTTCTGAACCGCTCTCCAGGAACTTCTGGCCACTGCTTTTCCCTGTAGTCGGGGGCCCCAAATGGATCTTCGGTAGTGCTGCCGAACCATTTGCCAACTTTGACCAGGCCGGCAGAGACCTTTCGTCTATGTCCCGGACCTTGCTTGGTTGCCTGAGTTCCGCGCGTAGATGTGCTCGTGAGTGGCGGCAAGCCATGCTCAATGTGGTCTGCATGCCCATCTTCACTTTCTTGGAAAGACTCCGAGTCTACCTCTCGAGCCCGATCATAGATCAATCGACAGTGTTCGCAGCCACAGATGCTAAGCGGGTCTTTCGGGGCCTCGTTTATACCGTCTAGGAGGTAAATGAGGAATGATCCCACGATTGCTAGCCCTGTTGCAACAATGGTGCCCCATTGGCCTGGAAGAGAACTGGTCAGCGACAGAGAGATCCCGTAGGCATATATAACTCACCAACGCTCCCAAATGGCTCGGTATGATAGTCCATCTGGGGGCTCCAAAGATTGATCTCTCCGAGGATGAGAATGGCTAAGGCAGCGCCGCCAAAAACGAAGATCTCGATCAGATTCAGGAACCCGCTAAACGTTCTGTGTAGATCCTTGGATTCATCGGATTCGTTTCCCTTTTCCTTCTGCGGCCCGTTCTGCCTCTTGATCCAATCGGTGATAACGATCTTGTTTCTCATAGAGATGAGCGAGATTATGGCCGGAACACAACATGCCACCGCGAGAAACATGGCGTTTCCAAATCGAAGCTCGTTCGGCCTCGGCACCACGAAAATTTCACTAGCAGCCTTTTGCCTCAAGCGAGAAAACGGCCCGTCTGTCTGGGAACAGGTAATACCGCATAATGGACTGTCTCCGTAAGGGAACTTTCTCGGGTCCGACGATATTGGATTGCCGTTGTTGTCTTGATAGCAGGGAATAGAATTGGATCGGTAGAACTCGACAGCCAAGCTCACGAGACCTATAAATGTTGGTCAGCCTTTGAGCAAATACATCTTCTGGGGGGTTTAGCTTCCTACCTGCTAGTAACAGACTCGTCCACACAAAGACAGTGTTGCGTCCCTTTTCGTGGAAGTACGTCTCGGACTTCTTGACCGTCAACGGAACTGCGAGAATGCCAATGGAGCAGAATTGAAGCGCCCCGTAGATATCCATATCGGCAGCGTCTAGGCAATGAGTGTCAGATAGAAACTAGGGACCTTTCTGCTCCAAACTAACCATTTACGTGGAGAGCAGCAAGAACGATCCCATGCACCGCAGCCACGGCTGGTAAGATCAATGCCGCTGCTATGCAGACATCTCTGATCCATTTCTCTCCACGAGCTAATACGCATACTGCCAAAAGAATGTAATACCTAGATCACCCTATGTCAGCTATGGCCCGCTTATGGTAGAGCATCGTCTATTCGAGGAGATTCAAAAGCTGCAGATGGGCAACGTCTTCGCCCTTTGGTTGTGTTTGTACAATTCACGCATCGCTCTACTCGTCCTGTGTCCAATCTCGAACCAGCGAGAGTTGGATTGCTACAGAAAGCGAGGTATAAAGGGCCGATACAGCATCACAGCGATGAGGTCTTGGGCGATTGCCTCGGACTTGTCCCCGGTTTTGCCCACCGCTTAGTAGGTTGTATGTAATCCCGTTCCATTGCATTAGAAAGTGGAGAAAGAGAAGCATCGCTCACAGGATTCGCTGGCCAAATCCATATTGCCCTGATACTGGCCATCCGCAGAAAACCTCTATGCAATCCGGTGACGATCCGCAAGACGCGGTGAGCTGATCTGTGGCTCGCTGGCTGATGATGGCACGCAATAGAGGGGCAGGTGAAAGCGGTGGCATCGCGCGTGTCCCATCAATTCTCCCGAAAGGTTGACACAGCGTGGTTCGACCATCTAATGTGGGAACGCTCGGTAAAATAAGCTTTCTTTTGTTTCCTGCTCGGTAGCAACGGTGGAAGTTGTAGATAGTCAATCGACGAAAACGGCTTTCTGCTGCCTCTCTAATCGGTAGTTGGACAAGACATGGAGGTCGTCTCCCGCCCCTCCATCCGAAGAAGTTCACCTTCCCTTCCGATTGCCCGAGTATCCGTCCAATGCTGGCATTGATTACCTCACTTGACGGTAAGGCTGTGAGTGGAAGGTGCTCGTGTGCTCGCTTGCTCTTCCGGTGCGGCTCAGCCAGCAGTGCAGAGCAACGGCGCAAGGGGCAAAAGCTTGGGTTCAGATGGCAAGCATTCCAGAAACCCCGCGGTGGTGGCGCAGCAAAAGGATTCGGTTGCCCATCTTGCCGTCTTCATCATGTTATCGAGTCGTAGGATACAGAAAGGCAGGTGCTTTAGGTGAGCATCGCTGAGAATCTGACGCTGCAAAATGCCGACCGGCGAATCGACAACGCCAAGCCCCATAAGGATAGGAACACAGCAGATGTGAGAGCTTCTAGGGACGCATTGTCAACTGTTTCTGGCCAGTGGAGGTTGCAGTGCCCTGTCGGCTCTGACATTGACGAGAAACAATGTTCAATCGGAGGCACGCTGACTTGCTGATGCTTGCTGATGGCATTGGAACCGTGCAGGATACTATGCCGGTTGAGGCACTAGGGCCCAGATCAACTCGCCAGTCGGGCGTTGATGCCACCCCGCCAGCTCGCCCCGTCTCAGGTCTTAGTGCCTTTTCCTTCTCGAGTCTCCTCGTTCCCCGGACCTCACATGGCCGGGCGATCTCGCTGACGTGGGTGGATGATGTTAGCTCGGGCAGCCTGGCTGTTGGTTCTAGGTCTCTGCGGTCGACTCTGTTCTAGCATATCTCGTACTTGATGCGCTGAGAATCCTCCTCTATGGTTGAACCAGTCAGTTTCGCACGGTACATTATCAAGATGACGGTAAGAAAGAAGAGGCAAAGCTTATAGAAGCGAAGATGGAAGTGCAGGGAGGATGTAGATGCTCAACGTAATTTTTGATCATCAGGCTTCCAGTATTCTTCCTTGCAACGTTAGCTCAGGCGCGAGGTGGCAGTGTTAGGTTGGTTCCAAACTGGAACTTGGAAGACTTGAAGGAACGTCAATCACCCGGACCGATCGTCCCCCGCCGCGAATGAAGCGGCGACGTCAATTGGAGAAGGACATGGCCGAAGTGAATGACCCGCGCCTTCTTCATTGGCAAGGCGGGTAATATAGGTGCAAGGGCTCCACTTTCCCCCGTCATCTCAATTCGGTGGTTCTTGCCTCCTTCACCGCGTTCAGAGACTTCGTGAGAAGTACTCCGTACATGGATCTTGCGAATTTCCTAAACCTCTCTCTCTCGTCGACGCTTGATTTCTGGGCCCCATGAGGGCTCGAAGTCTCGACACGTACTCTAATTGATTACGATGGCCATCGATACACGGACGGATCAGATCAGAGAATGGAGGTCAATTGTGACGTTGATAGCCTTCTTCCTTGCGAGTAAGTCGTGGTACCTTCGTTGAAAAGCCTTTATGTGCATCGCACATGTGTCGCAAATGGATAATTCATTGATTCAATGGGCGCACAGACATCGTCGTACTTTTCCCTTTCCACATCCCAATCTACGTTCCTGCGCGACTGTGGGATGCGGTGTTGAAGGTGCTTCGCAAGCTGCGGGTGATACCGCGCGAGGAAGACACTCACGATGACTTCAAGGAGGGTCGCTTTGAGGGAATATCCCCTCGACGCAAGCGTTTCAAGCGCTTCGACTTCCCAATGAACTCAATTACTGCGCCATTGATCGCCGACTTGTTTCTCCTGGCCATCTTGGCAATTGGCAGGGAGGAAGTGTACGACGGAACCATTGGCCAAAACGGCATCCATCCTCTCGATATCATGGTTTTCTTTCTGACGCTGGCGTACATTGCCATTTCGATTGACGCCTCGGGACTCATTCGGTACTTGGCACTCAAGGTGCTTCAATGGGGAGGCAAGGTCGGCTACCGGTTGTTCTTCTACCTCTACGCCTTTTTCTTCTGCCTGGGCACCTTCATCGGCAACGATCCCATTATCTTGTCCGGCACGGCCTTCCTCGCCTATATGACCCGAATCTCGAACAACATTAAGTACCCAAGAGCGTGGATCTTCACCCAGTTCTCCATAGCCAACATCGCCTCAGCCATTCTTGTCTCGTCCAACCCGACCAACCTCGTGCTTGCAGGTGCCTTCGACATCAAGTTCGTCGAGTACACGGCCAACATGGTTGTGCCAGTCGTCGTCACGGCCATCGTCTTGTTCCCGTTTCTCCTCTACATCATCTTTGCAGACAAGAAGCTCATCCCCGAGTCCATTGAGATGTTTCAACCGCCAGAGGAGGCCATGCAATCGAAGCCCGTCAACCCCAACATCCCGAACCCCAGAGGAGCCGCAAGCAATGCCGATCAAGCGCCCGAGAGCAGTCCGCAAGCACAGTTGCTCTCAGCCATTGAGATTTTGAACCCCTGGCTTGACAAGGGAGGAGCTGCCTTTGGCGCTGTTGTCATGTCGGTGACCCTAATTACGGTCCTGGCTCTCAATGCCGCAAACGTGAAACCGAAGGATGATCAGCACCTGCAAGTCTTTTGGGTCACTTTACCGGCCGCTTTCATCATGCTATGCTGGGACCTGGCGTTCGGCTGGTCCCACAGAAAAGAGACTCGCCGCATAGCACAACAGGGACGAGAGGGACAGGACGAGGAGCTTGTCAGGGCAGAGGAAGGCATTAGAGAGAAGGGCAACGCGGGCATATTGGGCCAAGAAGACACAAGCTTGGCCCAAGAGACGACAGAGGTGTCGCCAATGTCACATGCAACCAGACCAGAGATTCATATCCAAGATACCGACCTTCTGGAAGATAAGGAACGCCTCGGAGTTGCAAATGAGGAGGTTTCGCCAGTCAGCAACGATTCGAGCACGAATGCGTCGGAGCGGAACGCTACTGATGCCGAGTTCATGATTACTCCAGCAATCCCAGCATCGGGAAACAGCGACAGTGTGACCGGCAATGCAGGCCCGCAGCTCATATCTTCACAGTCTACAGCCGTGGAAAGAACGGAGAAGGCCGATATCAGCAAAACACCGAGCGAGGGTTCTACGGAAAGTAGGAGACGAGCTGTGCCAGCTGCGGCCAGTGGGCCTGGCGAAGCACAAACGCTGCCAGATGGGGTTACGGATATTGAGAAGGGGACCACTGGAAGACAATCCCGCCGAAGCTCGAGTTTCCGCTCCAAGAAGCAACCGGCGACGCTGGTATCGCGCTTCAAGGACGGGTATCGTTGGTCACAAGAGACATTCCCCACGGTGATGGCGGTGCTATCTCATCTACCCTTCGCCCTCGTCCCTTTTGCCTTTGCCATGTTCGTCCTTGTGCAAGCTCTCGTCACCAAGGGCTGGGTACCGGTGTTTGCGTACGGATGGGATCACTGGGTTGAGAAGACGGGAACGATTGGTGCCATTGGTGGCATGGGGTTCCTCTCGGTCATCCTCTGCAACGTGAGTATTTGCCCGTCCAGATCTGGTTTGACCAAGAAGTTTTACCGCATAAAGGCTGACTTTTGAGATCCTTCTTTAGTTCGCGGGTACGAATATTGGCACCACAATCCTACTCTCCCGCGTGATCCAGGCGTGGCAGCAGATCCACCGAGAAAATGGCGTGCCCATCAGCGAGCGCACTTTCTGGGCGACGGTCTACAGCATGGCTCTCGGAGTCAACTACGGCGCCTTCAGCACCGCCTTCAGCGCATCGTTGGCTGGCCTGCTGTGGAGGGACATTTTGGAGAGAAAGCACATCTTTGTCAGCAGGAGGGACTTTGCAAGGGAGAACATACCCATCATCGCCATTGCCATGACGGTCGGTTGCACGGTTCTGGTTGGGGAGATTTACATTACTCGAACGGACGATGCGTATCCGCTGTGAGCTTGATATCAATCAAGCAGATGACTGGGCGAGGTTCATGAGTTGACGGCCATCATATAGAAGACTGGAGACGTTTTAGAGATCCAAAAGATACCCCCATTTGGCTGGAAATGGCCGTCAGTGGATAACATTCGTCTGGATGAGGCCAAAACGACGGGTATTCGTCAACGTCATGTAAAGCTGAGTGATGCTTAATGCGGGAGAGAATGAGAGCACGCCAGACTACAGAATAACCCCAGACTGGACGGCACCACACTCCGCCACAAGCACGACATCACAAACGGGATCAATTGACTTATGACCAAAGAACAAGTCATTCGCCACACTCGGAGCGGGCATCGTGCAGCCGTCCCGTCTCGACTGCGGCATGAAGAGCGGGAGGGCTGTGTAGAGGGGAATATGCAGACTGTCACTGAATGCATTTCCGCAGGCAGGCGAGTACCGTACGAACATTGGATTATTGCGGATGGCGTGCAGCAGGGCTGTGGCTGTGTAGTGAACATCAACCCGGGGGGGCTCTGCTGCGTGATGCAACGCGGGCTTCGTCTTTTGTTTTGCCATGCATTCTGCATTCTGCGCATAGTCTATGAGGGGTTATGAAGAGATCAGGTATTGCTTCTGTTGTAAGGCCCATGGAAGATTTCTCGGTCTGCCTTGACGAGGCGCGTAGGAGTTCACCCGTTGGGCCCGGCAAAGTTGAGGGTCTTTGGCAGGCATCCTCAACTAGGGTCTCATTCACCAAGACCAACTCACTTTTGTCGAATTCGCTCATAGACGGGGGGTTGCGGAAAGAATCATGGTCAATAACCGCAAATCGCGGTTCAGCGCTTATCGCTCACTCGGGTCCTTGGTAAGGTAACATTGAGCAGAGTCGTGAAAATAGCACAGCCGCGCTGCTGTGCCGTCACCAGGTTCTCACTCACCGGCGATCCACAGTGTCGTAATGTAGACTCGCGACAATGTGGTTTACCGTTCGACCGCGATCATGATCCATTTCCGGACGTCAGCGGAGGGTTGTGTGCATGTGTCTCAGTCATGATCTTCTGGTTCAGCCAGCCCCCATTCACCAATGAGATTGCCACGCTGCCGAGGGTCGGAAGCGCGGAGGCTGTAGGTAAGCTGAGGCAGCAGGATACAGCAGCTTCACCCCTACCGACGACAACGGCTGCGGGGTTTCCCAGGTTGTGATTGATGGAGCATGGGGGAGGGGACGGCACGGGAGGAATGGGAGGATGCTTGGGGAGGGGCAGAGGGGTTCGTCGGTTCGATGGGGGACGGAAGATCAGCGTCTGTCAGCACGGGAGGGGACGGGGTTGCTTACTGCATGAGCTGGTCCGAAGAGCTCTGGGCTGTTGATTCAGTCTTTGAGTATGAACTTGTGTAAGTCGGGTGCGTCTCTACGGCGTGGACGGGCGGGCGCATCCGGATCAAGGTCTTGAATCTTGTATTTGGTTGAAGGCTGAGAGATGTTGTCCTGAAGAGATGAATGGTTTCCTCAATTCCAAAGGATCTCGGCTTCAGAGGGAAAAGACGGGATGGACTCTTCAAAGTTCGACCCTGCTTTCGCTGGCCAAAGCACCCGGGCGAACTGAGTTGTGGGATGAAGAGTTGAGACGCTGGAAGCATGCAGTCTTCTGCCCAAGAAGAAGGGAAATGTTTCACCCCATTGATGCAGGCAGGTTGTTGATGGTAGGCCGTGCTCTTGCTTCAGTCTGCCATGCAGCGCAGGACTCTGCTAGAGAGCTTTTCCCAAGTTCTCGCCAGTCGGGATGGTTAATGGCTCGGGTTCAGCTATGGTCATTGACTTTGACTTCGAATCTCCGAACTTCAGATAGATACAAGGGATGTTTGAGAATCGGGCGTTGTCTCTTCTCCCCCACCCTTCCTCACAGCATGCTTGGGTTTGAATCCTTCGCGGGAAAGACGGCATGAACCGAGGCTGTTTAGGGCTCTTCTGCAAATCGAGCCTCCGAAAATAATCTCGACGGAAAGAAACGCGAATGACTTTGAGTACTGCTCTCTTACCCAGTGTCACTAGGTAGCGCGGCAGATACAGTATTACACCGTCTGCCTGAGAAAGCCGTTGTGACTATTGATGAGTAGTATACCATACTCCATATTCCAGTGAAGCTCAGTATGCTCGCGAATAAGTCAAACATCGTCAAGCCAACCCGAAGAGCATCCCATCTCCCAGGATCCTCCATCCCATTCTTCTCTCGTGGGGTCCAAGTGTCTCCATCCGGAGTTCATGGGTAAGGCAGAGGGTATCCCGCGGTGCTCACACGTCCAGAATTCATCACGCTCGAACGGGGTTTGCAGTTGCAGCGACTAACGTCCTCACCATTTTCGCATGCAGGAACGTACATTGACTGTCTTGCTTCTGTTTCTTACATTGACTTTCGGATTGCGGCCTTTTCCCCTTGATTTCACCAATGCAAGTATGGTTCTTATCATGGAATCCTCTTCTTCTCGCCGAGGGCCATCCCGGAGAGATCCTGCAGGCTCGCTGTTGAAGCAGTCGCCGTTTTGAAACGGCCGCGCTGCAGCGAAGGAGGTGCGTGGGAGTGATCAATGCGCCCGTTGGATGAGATATGGACAGAGTTTTTGGTTTTGTTCTTTCAACGTTTTCCTGCCAAAACAGTCTTGATAAATTCTGTTTGAACCATTTCAGCTGAAGCGAGTGAGAGAAAGGGTTAAGGTGCAAAATGGGACGATGGCTCTGAATGGGATGTTGGACCCGACTCGTAGCACTTACCACTCGAGGCTGAAAAAGCCACATATTGTGCCTCGTGCTCTTTCGTGTTACCTCAATACTTTAATTTGTTGAGTCGTTGATTGCCTCCCCGGCCCGACTTTGGCCAAGCCGATTCTTCGCATCATGTTACTGCCAAGCCGAGTCTTTTCTTTGTGTAAGTTGCGAGAGGGCGGGCTGAAAAATTTCAGAAACGGTTACCGAACGTTGGGACCTGTGGCAATGGGAAAGGGGGACATGAGAGAGAACAAAGGAGCCAGAGCCTAGATGCGGCGGGCAAACAATGTGAGCATTGTAAGGGGTGCGGTGTTTAATCGAGGGATTGTGATTCCTTTGTTTGACTGGGTAGAAACTAATCGAGGTAGTCGCATGATTGCCCGTTTTGATGCAACCTCGCTCAATCACCAGCTTGCAGAGTGAGTGGGGGGAAAGGATGAGTGAGCGGGTTGCGTGAGTGAAGTCTTCAGTGAGTGAACTCATGAGTGAGTGAGTGACTTGCAGCAGTAGCAGCGCCTCACTAACACAACGGGGTCCGCGTTCAGGTCACCACCGACAGGGTGTGCGTCCAGGATCTACACTCCAAGTATCCGTACAGCTGCAGATGGTGGTGTTCCAGCTCCGCCCCGCGGGTCCTTCGCCTTTCCGCCATGGCGCCCGCGAACGAGCGAAGAAGCTTCTCCAGCGTGTGTGTTCGTCCACGGAGTCCAGCTCGGCCCACGAAGCACACCACGCCGGGCTGCTGCTGCTGCTGCTGGACTGTAAGGCGTCAGGGTTTTTGGCTGGGCCGAGCGGATCTGAGAAAGCTGATTGAGCGCCTAGGCTAAGCCGAGTTGAGGTAGATCCTCGTGGACCCGTTGTGGTACCTTGTTCTAAGTTTGGGAGAGCCACGCTTAGGTTCTCTTCTTTTCTCTCTGTCAGACTGTGGTTCAGTGCAACATTACTGCGCAGTCTCTTTCGCTTTACCAAGACCAACAAGCCTCGATGTGTCTCCAACGCAGATCAGCCAGGCAGACGAGCACCATGGTCCCAGAGACTGACGCAAGTCAAGTGGTTCTCGTTTGTGATATGAATTGATAGATATGGAACGATCTAGGGAGAACGTTAGGCATACGTTTAGGACAACCTTCGGCCTTATTCGTTTCCTCGCCGCCGCAAAGAAAGCCGCCGCAAGAAACATGAACCGCCCCAAAAAGTCCAGGCAAATCCCTTTCCAGACACACCACATACCCTTGGATCCCCGCGGTTGGTCGGGGGGCGGATCTGTTTCCCTGCTGCGGGAGAACAGGGATGCTAGCACGACGAGAGCAACACGGCCAATTATAGCCGCATCGCATGGCGCCGGGCGAACGATTCGCGGCCATGGTTCATGGTCCAACCCGAAGTACAGAAAGAGAAGTTGTAAGTTGTGAGTGGCATCGCTGCGGCAGAAACAGCGCCTTATGGGGTACACTCACACGGCTACGGCTACTATTCCCAAACATTACCCTCTTTTTTCGTTTCCGTTTCTGCTTTTCCTTCCCCAGTCCCGTCCCATCCTCATCCACCACGTCCGCAGCTGGGCGATATGCACACTCCCAACCCATGAATCTTTTGCGCGAGTGTGAGTGGAAAAGGCCAAGGCATCGAGAGATGCCGGCCACTCAGCGGTAGAGATACCCTCTCTGCCTTGCAGTTGCTTCGCTTGCTTCGGCTCGTGCCCTCCTCACGCTGGACAAGGGGTCTGATAGGATTCCTCCCCCTCCATGGCCATGCTTGCTTGCATGGAAGCTCTTGTGAAGCTCTCTCATCTCAATGCGAAAGAAGTAGCCATTGTGTCTCGCAAGGGAAGATTCAGAAATCATGTAATAAAGGGGACCTCTCATCCCTCCTTCTGTCATCCCTTTTCCCCTCACACTCTGATCACCACTCCCCATCATCACCACACGGGCTTTTTATCTAGAGAGGGTCCACGCACAGAGCTGTCTATTCTCGTCCCCGTCATCGAACAAAAAGCTCCGAGCGGAATCAACAGAACCACAACCCCATTCTGCCTATACTTACACACATGAACATTGGTGATGTCTTCGCTTGGGTGCAGTCGTCCGGAGCATCATTGACCATCCGCACAAACACACCCCTACTTCTGCTCCACGCCCCCCTTCCGCCCACCTTATCCGTCACACTGGCACCACCGGAGACCGGCGCTGGCGTACACTATCGCGGCACCATCTTTTTACTACCTTCTCTCAACTTCTATCCCACCCCAAAG